TCATATATATTAATAATCCCTTTGTTATATTAATAGCAAGGCTAGCACCGATTATGGTATTTTTAAGAATACCATAATTTGGTATTTTTAATGATGAAATATGATTAATAATTTGGTTATGGTATATATTAAGGGAGAAGAGTACCATAATTTGGTCCAAATCATATATATTAATAATCCCTTTGTTATATTAATAGCAAGGCTAGCACCGATTATGGTATTTTTAAGAATACCATAATTTGGTATTTTTAATGATGAAATATGATTAATAATTTGGTTATGGTATATATTAAGGGAGAAGAGTACCATAATTTGGTCCAAATCATATATATTAATAATCCCTTTGTTATATTAATAGCAAGGCTAGCACCGATTATGGTATTTTTAAGAATACCATAATTTGGTATTTTTAATGATGAAATATGATTAATAATTTGGTTATGGTATATATTAAGGGAGAAGAGTACCATAATTTGGTCCAAATCATATATATTAATAATCCCTTTGTTATATTAATAGCAAGGCTAGCACCGATTATGGTATTTTTAAGAATACCATAATTTGGTATTTTTAATGATGAAATATGATTAATAATTTGGTTATGGTATATATTAAGGGAGAAGAGTACCATAATTTGGTCCAAATCATATATATTAATAATCCCTTTGTTATATTAATAGCAAGGCTAGCACCGATTATGGTATTTTTAAGAATACCATAATTTGGTATTTTTAATGATGAAATATGATTAATAATTTGGTTATGGTATATATTAAGGGAGAAGAGTACCATAATTTGGTCCAAATCATATATATTAATAATCCCTTTGTTATATTAATAGCAAGGCTAGCACCGATTATGGTATTTTTAAGAATACCATAATTTGGTATTTTTAATGATGAAATATGATTAATAATTTGGTTATGGTATATATTAAGGGAGAAGAGTACCATAATTTGGTCCAAATCATATATATTAATAATCCCTTTGTTATATTAATAGCAAGGCTAGCACCGATTATGGTATTTTTAAGAATACCATAATTTGGTATTTTTAATGATGAAATATGATTAATAATTTGGTTATGGTATATATTAAGGGAGAAGAGTACCATAATTTGGTCCAAATCATATATATTAATAATCCCTTTGTTATATTAATAGCAAGGCTAGCACCGATTATGGTATTTTTAAGAATACCATAATTTGGTATTTTTAATGATGAAATATGATTAATAATTTGGTTATGGTATATATTAAGGGAGAAGAGTACCATAATTTGGTCCAAATCATATATATTAATAATCCCTTTGTTATATTAATAGCAAGGCTAGCACCGATTATGGTATTTTTAAGAATACCATAATTTGGTATTTTTAATGATGAAATATGATTAATAATTTGGTTATGGTATATATTAAGGGAGAAGAGTACCATAATTTGGTCCAAATCATATATATTAATAATCCCTTTGTTATATTAATAGCAAGGCTAGCACCGATTATGGTATTTTTAAGAATACCATAATTTGGTATTTTTAATGATGAAATATGATTAATAATTTGGTTATGGTATATATTAAGGGAGAAGAGTACCATAATTTGGTCCAAATCATATATATTAATAATCCCTTTGTTATATTAATAGCAAGGCTAGCACCGATTATGGTATTTTTAAGAATACCATAATTTGGTATTTTTAATGATGAAATATGATTAATAATTTGGTTATGGTATATATTAAGGGAGAAGAGTACCATAATTTGGTCCAAATCATATATATTAATAATCCCTTTGTTATATTAATAGCAAGGCTAGCACCGATTATGGTATTTTTAAGAATACCATAATTTGGTATTTTTAATGATGAAATATGATTAATAATTTGGTTATGGTATATATTAAGGGAGAAGAGTACCATAATTTGGTCCAAATCATATATATTAATAATCCCTTTGTTATATTAATAGCAAGGCTAGCACCGATTATGGTATTTTTAAGAATACCATAATTTGGTATTTTTAATGATGAAATATGATTAATAATTTGGTTATGGTATATATTAAGGGAGAAGAGTACCATAATTTGGTCCAAATCATATATATTAATAATCCCTTTGTTATATTAATAGCAAGGCTAGCACCGATTATGGTATTTTTAAGAATACCATAATTTGGTATTTTTAATGATGAAATATGATTAATAATTTGGTTATGGTATATATTAAGGGAGAAGAGTACCATAATTTGGTCCAAATCATATATATTAATAATCCCTTTGTTATATTAATAGCAAGGCTAGCACCGATTATGGTATTTTTAAGAATACCATAATTTGGTATTTTTAATGATGAAATATGATTAATAATTTGGTTATGGTATATATTAAGGGAGAAGAGTACCATAATTTGGTCCAAATCATATATATTAATAATCCCTTTGTTATATTAATAGCAAGGCTAGCACCGATTATGGTATTTTTAAGAATACCATAATTTGGTATTTTTAATGATGAAATATGATTAATAATTTGGTTATGGTATATATTAAGGGAGAAGAGTACCATAATTTGGTCCAAATCATATATATTAATAATCCCTTTGTTATATTAATAGCAAGGCTAGCACCGATTATGGTATTTTTAAGAATACCATAATTTGGTATTTTTAATGATGAAATATGATTAATAATTTGGTTATGGTATATATTAAGGGAGAAGAGTACCATAATTTGGTCCAAATCATATATATTAATAATCCCTTTGTTATATTAATAGCAAGGCTAGCACCGATTATGGTATTTTTAAGAATACCATAATTTGGTATTTTTAATGATGAAATATGATTAATAATTTGGTTATGGTATATATTAAGGGAGAAGAGTACCATAATTTGGTCCAAATCATATATATTAATAATCCCTTTGTTATATTAATAGCAAGGCTAGCACCGATTATGGTATTTTTAAGAATACCATAATTTGGTATTTTTAATGATGAAATATGATTAATAATTTGGTTATGGTATATATTAAGGGAGAAGAGTACCATAATTTGGTCCAAATCATATATATTAATAATCCCTTTGTTATATTAATAGCAAGGCTAGCACCGATTATGGTATTTTTAAGAATACCATAATTTGGTATTTTTAATGATGAAATATGATTAATAATTTGGTTATGGTATATATTAAGGGAGAAGAGTACCATAATTTGGTCCAAATCATATATATTAATAATCCCTTTGTTATATTAATAGCAAGGCTAGCACCGATTATGGTATTTTTAAGAATACCATAATTTGGTATTTTTAATGATGAAATATGATTAATAATTTGGTTATGGTATATATTAAGGGAGAAGAGTACCATAATTTGGTCCAAATCATATATATTAATAATCCCTTTGTTATATTAATAGCAAGGCTAGCACCGATTATGGTATTTTTAAGAATACCATAATTTGGTATTTTTAATGATGAAATATGATTAATAATTTGGTTATGGTATATATTAAGGGAGAAGAGTACCATAATTTGGTCCAAATCATATATATTAATAATCCCTTTGTTATATTAATAGCAAGGCTAGCACCGATTATGGTATTTTTAAGAATACCATAATTTGGTATTTTTAATGATGAAATATGATTAATAATTTGGTTATGGTATATATTAAGGGAGAAGGGTACCATAATTTGGTCCAAATCATATATATTAATAACCCCTTTGTTATATTAATAGCAAGGCTAGGACCGAACGGTGGGTCCAAATCGGTGCTAGCCTTGCTTTAATATATATGTAATTAAACTTTTAGGTACGGGCATACGCTAGAACGACATTTAAAATACCTATGATTATTAATACCATACCTACAAAATTGTGGAATTTATCAAAATTAGAACGGCATTTTAGGTGAATCAGTGGGGCAATCTCCATCATTGCAACATTAATTTGTAGCTCTGTTTTTGTTGCTTCAGTTCTGTTTTTGTGTTCTTCAAACTATGATTCAATGATTAAAAAACAGTGATTGATCATTAGAATATATACAAAAACAGAGCTACAAATGGAATAAATGGGTTTCATTAAATTTAATGTTCTTCACTGTTTTCCTTTCATTCACTTGATTTTCCTATTAAGAAACTTAAATTTATACAAAAATAGAGCTACAAATGGAATAAATGGGTTTCATTAAATTTAATGTTCTTCACTGTTTTCCTTTCATTCACTTGATTTTCCTATTAAGAAACTTAAATTTATACAAAAATAGAGCTACAAATGGAATAAATGGGTTTCATTAAATTTAATGTTCTTCACTGTTTTCCTTTCATTCACTTGATTTTCCTATTAAGAAACTTAAATTTATACAAAAATAGAGCTACAAATGGAATAAATGGGTTTCATTAAATTTAATGTTCTTCACTGTTTTCCTTTCATTCACTTGATTTTCCTATTAAGAAACTTAAATTTATACAAAAATAGAGCTACAAATGGAATAAATGGGTTTCATTAAATTTAATGTTCTTCACTGTTTTCCTTTCATTCACTTGATTTTCCTATTAAGAAACTTAAATTTATACAAAAATAGAGCTACAAATGGAATAAATGGGTTTCATTAAATTTAATGTTCTTCACTGTTTTCCTTTCATTCACTTGATTTTCCTATTAAGAAACTTAAATTTATACAAAAATAGAGCTACAAATGGAATAAATGGGTTTCATTAAATTTAATGTTCTTCACTGTTTTCCTTTCATTCACTTGATTTTCCTATTAAGAAACTTAAATTTATACAAAAACAGAGCTACAAATGGAATAAATGGGTTTCATTAAATTTAATGTTCTTCACTGTTTTCCTTTCATTCACTTGATTTTCCTATTAAGAAACTTAAATTTATACAAAAATAGAGCTACAAATGGAATAAATGGGTTTCATTAAATTTAATGTTCTTCACTGTTTTCCTTTCATTCACTTGATTTTCCTATTATTCCATTTAAATAAGAAACTTAAATTTATACAAAAATAGAGCTACAAATGGAATAAATGGGTTCCTTTTTGTATATAGAATAAATGGGTTTCACTTGGTATTTCTTCACTGTTTTTCAATCACTGTTTCAATCACTGTTTTATCAGGTGAAATCAGGTTTCCTTTCATTCACTGTTTTATAAGGAAAATCCACATGTTCTTCAAACCCACAAAATCAAGTGAAACCCATTTATACACTGGACTATCAAGTGAAACCCTTTTCAGGTTTCGGGTCTATATCACTGCTCGATTCGTTGTCCAATGCAGCAGAGAACAATGTCTCCATTTCAATATTCACCAGAAAAATGAAACCCATTTCAGGCCCAAAACTTTCAAAAAATTTAAATTTAAATCCATTTAAGAAATCAAAAATCAGAAAAATGCTCGATCAATCCATTTAAGTTGGAAGATCAACCCACATGTCAGGTAGGTTGATTATTCTGCCCTGTCACTGACTATATGCAAGCTCCCGACCCTGTTTGGTTGCTGAGAAAACAAAGGGAAAAAAATGAAATTCGGTTTCAAGATTAACAAAGATATACAGCATAGTGGTATTGCACTCTACTCATTCAAACAGAATTTTTTTGGCATTCTTGATCCAAACAACGAAGAATGAAACAGCTAATTTTTGGCATTCTTCTAATTTTCCTAATTTTCTTCTAACAAACAGAAGTAAAATAAATAATAAACAATCAAATGCGAGAAATAGATGAATCCAAGAAGAAATTAACCTTTGCATTCCAACACACATTCAAACAATCAAATGCGAGAATCAAATGCGAGAAGCAAGAAATTAACCTTTGCATTCCAAGAAGAAGAAGCTCGTTGATAGATGAATTCAAACCCTCCCGATCTTCCTTCTTAGCCAATAACTTGACCTCCTGAACCACATGCCTTATCACATCATCAATCGCATTTCTCTCCTCACCGCTCACAACAGATCCAAGATCTTCCATAAATCTCTTCACCGTCCTCCGCCGTAGATCTCCGGCGTCCATGATCTCCGCCGTCAATCGCAATTCCCGTCGGCCTTGACTTCTCCGCCGTGACTCAGCCGGAACACCCATTATGGTAGAGAGAGAGGATGACACAATGAGGAGAGGTGGTTGGTCTTTGGTCGTCGCACGGTAGAGAGAGAGAGAGAGAGAGAGAGTTCAAAAATTGAAATGAGAGAGAGAGAAGATGGTACCTGTGACAGAGAGGAGAGTTTTGGACCATTACATTTTGGACCGTTGATGCTCAAAGACATCCTAACCATTGAGATTTAGATGAAGTAATTTAAACCATTGGATCAAAATGTATCTCACATACATTTTGATACATTTTTGAAATCCCTCTTGCCTTATTATATAGATTTTTATTATTTCACTTCCCAGGTTTCGTGTTAGAAAAACACTACATGGTTTTTTTGACGTTGGGGCTTAAACCCCAAGCCTTAACTACGTGGTTATTGTGTCATGTTGGGTCATATCATTTTGACTTTGTATCAAAACTTTCTCAAAACTAATCCAACCTATTTATTATTTTGCGTATGTTCGATTCATGTTTGATTCGTGTGGTATTAACATGTATAAAAAAAAAAATTTCAAATATCATATGTATGGAAAATTTAAAATTTTTTCTCCATAATAATCTCTATTTAATGAAATTATTTATATAAATATTTGATTTTAACTAAATTTCATGTTTCTAATCTATTAAAATTATATCTTACTATTATAATTTTTTATTTGATACTTAAACAGTGGGCATTATCTTCATTTAAAATTAAAAAATATATTAGTTTTAAAATTTAATTTTAAATATTTTTTAATAAGTTGAATAAAATTAGATAATAATTAAAAAATGTAATGACACCTTTTAATGACAATAATATTAAAATATACAATTAATTATTTATTAGTCATATTATTCATATTACTTTTGGCCTTGTTTGGCAAATTTTTTTTTTTTTTTCCTTTGTTTTTTTTTGGGGGGGGCTAAAATCCATTATAAAAAAAAAGAAAAGTTATATAAAAAAAAAGAGTGAAATATGCTAAATTAGCCAAGACAAAGACTTCGTTCGGCATGTCAATTTGGGCTAAAATAGTCACAAAAAGATAAAATAAGTTAAACAGTTAATAAAACAAAATGTCACATTCAAATTATAATCATTGTATTTTTTCTCTTGCAAAAGTCAAAATAGCCAAAATATTTACACACCTCAATTACTCTTAGTTCACACAATTATTCATAATTATTAATTACAATTTTATCCTTCAATTAAATATCCAAATTGCCCTCATCTCTATTCCATATCTTTCATCCACAAACCCTAACCTACCCTATTAACAGCCACCACCGGATGCCATCGCCACCTCAGCCCCTTGTCTCTGGTCGCCTCCTTTCTATAGCCGTCCTCTCTACTTTTCGCCCTATAGACGCTGCGGCCATCGTCATCAACCCTCATCGTCGTAGCCACTATTAACCTCTCTCTTCAGCCTTGTCGCATTTCCCTCAGCACCGTTATTTACCCATTCACCGTTGTACGCACTTATCTCGCCATTGTGAACAACCTCACTTCACATTTTTCCATCGCGAACAACTCCACCACCTACCATCGCTATTGTGATCTACCTTCTTTACCTCTCCATCGCAACTCAGCCCTCCTGTATCCTGGTCTCCTTCAGTGGAGGAAGGGGGAGAGAGAGTGCCCTAGGGTTTCGAGATCTAGACAATGAAGAAGAAGAGGAAGATAGAAGATGGGCCAAAGAGAAGTGACAGAGAGGCAGGGGTGAAGGTCAGTATCTGACAACTGGCGATATGCAAGGGTTTGGGTTTGGGTTAGTTGGAGAATGTAACACCCGTATTTTGAGGTATTAATATTTAGTGAGTGGTATTGGTGGTTTATTATTTTAATTTAATGGTAAGATTTTTAGATAAGAATTTAATTTTAAATTATTTATTTGTATTTGTCTCATCTCTTTTATATCTATCATATTGTTATTTAATAAATCAATTTATCATTCCCCATCACGTGAGAAGAAAAAAAAATAAAAAATACAAACAATCAAACCGTGGGCAAACAATCCCCAGTTCCTAACTTGCCACACCAAACCCACCATCCATCATTCCATCTTTTCATTTACTTTTAATTTTTTAATTCTCTTTCTCTCATTTATTCCTCTATAAACCAGCAGAGTGAGGGTAGCTCTCACAATCCTTTCTTCATTCGACTCTCCTCCTCTCATAGATTGTGTAGAGTAGAAATATTAGAGTGTTTAGAGTGAAAATGAGTATTTTATAAAATAAATAAATAAATTGAGAGTTGTAGATTTTATTAAATTATGCATACTTTATGCCTTAGAAGTTTAATCAGAGTTATTTTTGGAGATCCATGGAGCAATTTCAGATTTATGGCGACGAAATCAATTATTTTGAGATAAATTCGGGTTGTATACAATATGCTCTATTTAAATCTCTTTGCAACGAGTTTTCTATTTTTAATTATCCTCAATTTGTAATCCACTTGATTATTGTGGTTATTAATTGATTTTGTAAAATCATCTCATAGTCGAATCGTTGATATTCTGATCATTTGGTAAAGTTTCCTACAAATATTTCTGTGTTAAAATGGTGATTTGTCTGACTGAATGACATGGAAATACTCCGTACAGGGATCGAGTGAATCTTATTAATTGTTTACACCAATATGCCCGGATAAGCGTGGAGCTTGGGTGAGGTGGGTGAATAAATGAATCTATTCACTGGTCATGTACTGAGTAGGACCGGGTATTTGGTCAAGATAAATTAAAGTTAATTTGTTGTACAATTTGATAAATTGCTTGATTATCGTATCGTTGATTTAATGTCATAAATTGTTGGATTCTTGTTAATTTATTCTTTATCCGAGCCTTGTATTCCTGTCGTATTGTAGACTTCCCGAAAAAATTTATTTTTCAAGTGCGGAGCTGATTTTGATTTTAGTGGAGCTCAAAATTGAGATTAAAAAGATATATTAATATAGAGATTTGGGACCCACCACTGTAATTATTAAATTTGGAGATAGTTGTAATATTATTTATTTTGGAGGTAATTAGAATATTTGGAGGATATTGTACCATTTAGAGACGATTTTGTAATTATTATGTTTGGGAGCAAAACTTGTATTTTTTTTTAGGCTATTTTAGTGTATTTAACGACCTGAGAGTGGGGCGTTACAGATAAGATAATGGTAATTTGGTATTATTTAAAAATTAGTGGTGCGTGACAAAATTAAAAGTTTTAATTTGTGTATGGTGTAAACTGAGCAAGTGGTGTGTATTGAAAGGATTTGTGGTGTGTAAATAGAATCACCCTATAACTTAACGGTGACCTTTCATTTTAAAACAAAACACTCATAAACATGATGTATATTTATAACAACATCACTATCACGACATTTTTATGATATTTTTTGTATAAATGTTTATATATGAATATAAATTTTCATTTTTATTTCCACCATTATAGCTAGCTTAGATCAATTTAATCTAAATATATTTAAAAAGTATAAAATTTGAACAAAAAACTTTTAAAAAATCATTGAATACAACAAAGCACGAAAATGTATTAAATTTTTACATTTTTTAAATATATATATATTTTTGTATTTGGTGAATTTAAAAAAAAATCACAAAGTATTATAATTCTTAAGTATATTTAGATTAGGTGTATCTAAAAAATAAAAAAATTACTTAAAATATTAAAAAAGTTCAGTAAAAATAAAAAAAAAAACTTAATTTTTTGTGTACGTTAAACGAAAGAAGATGATTATTATTTCTCCTGAAATGACATGAACAAAATATCTGTATTATTTTGTTATTTTATATGTATAAAGGCTACGAGACAAATATGTCGTTTTAATCTGATAGAGGGTAAGTGTAATTTTTAAAATGTAATGGGCGATGATCTGTATTAAACAAAAATCTCAAGATGTGTCAATGTAATTTACCCTTCGTGTTATGTTCGATTTATGTTCGTTGTGTGTGGTGTTGATGTGTCAAAAAATTTCAAATATCAAATATATAGAAAATTTTAAATTTATCTACATAATAATCTCTATTTAAAGAAATTATTCGTATAAATATTTGATTTTAACTAAAATTTCATGTTTCTAATTTATAAAAATTATATCTTATTTTTATAATTTTTTATTTGATACTTAAATAGTGGGTAAAAAAATACTCTGTCTTCAATTAAAATTTAAAAATATGTAGTTTTAAAATCTTATTTTAAATAACTTTTGATAAGTTGGATAAAATTAGATAATAATTTAGAAATATAACGGCACCTTTTAATGAAAATAATATTAAAATATACAATTAATTATCCAGTACACAAATTGTTCGTATTAATTTCGTATTATGCAAGATATGTTTGTCATGTATATATATGTTGTGTTGAAAAATAATAAGCTAAATTATAAATACTTATTTTGAGGTTTGCTTACCAGACGAATTGGCCTTATAGTTTTGAAAGTTACATCTCATTCTTTCAAATTTTTAATATCATAATAAATGACTCATTTTATTAATAAATAAATCGTCAATTAATAATTTTTAGTGTCATAAATATATTTTAAGTAATAATTTTGATAATTTTATTGTTATATAAGAGAGTAGTTAGAAATTTTATTTTATTTATTAATTATGTTAAATCTATATTATATATTAAACAAAATGGGATTTTTAACTCCTAAGGCCTGTGGGAGGTTCAATATCTCAATCTGAATTTTTTAATTTTTTTATTAAAATAAAAAAAAACTCGGCATTTATTGATTTGGTCAAAATCTCCTGATCAGCATTTATTAACTTTTTTCAATTCACATGTCTTTTCACATGCCTGCATTTATTGATTTGGTCAAAATCCCTTAATCAGCATTTAAAATTCCCTCATACAAATAATTATAGATACAATCCTTGTATAGTTACTGTAATACCTTTTTCAACTTCTCTTATACACTATGGTTAGTGATAAGATTGTTAAATTATTTTTATAAAAAAATCTTAAAAAACGTAATTTATATATTAAAAAAATCTAAAACAAATATAAATAACTCTAATTATTCCGTACATAGCACGGGTGACAGGCTAGTAAAAATTTATGACAATGGGTATTTATAATTTTCAAAATTATAGTGGCAATTCACATTTTAAGCAAATTGCAAGAAATATATTTGTAATTTGGATAAATTATACTTTGCCCCTTTATGTTTGACAATTTTTTCACTTTGGCTCTTAATATATATATATATATATATTTTCACGTTGGCTCTTCACAATTCAAACTTTTCTCTTTCTTTTTTTATTTTTTTTCAATTTACTCTTGAAACTAATTTATGTTCGAAATTAGATAGAAAATTTCATCTTAACTATCACGTAACATAAAAATATATTATAATATGAGTAAATTATACTAACACTCCCTGAGATTTCTATTTGATACAGAGCCCCCCTCATATTTGGAAAATTTAATTCCCTTCCCTGAGGTTAGTAATCTCATTGCAAATTAAATTGCTTCCTAGATTGCTAATGTCGTGCCTTAAAATTTTCTAAATGACCATCTTGTCATTTTTTCTACCATTTGTTCTTTCTATCATCTTGACTATATTCTACAACTTTCCATCATTAAATTCTACCCGAATATATTTTTATTGAGTCATGATATATAAACCTAAATTTTATATAGAATTTTGAAACATAATGATATAATTTAATGGTGATATTTCACTTTAAAACAAAACACCCATAAACATAATTTATATTTACACCAACATCACTATCACAATATTTTTTGTCTAAAGTTTTATATATGAATATTATTTTTCAGTTTTATTTCTACCATTATATCTAGATTAGATAAATTTAGGCCAAGTTTGGGAAGACTAAATAAGTGCACTTTTTGTCTTTTTAGACTAAAAAGTTGAGGTTGAAAATATGAATGTTTGGGTTAACTTTTTGACTTTTTATGGAAAAATGTGTAATAAAAAATTGTAAAAATTAGTTTGTAGGAGAAAATTAGAATTGGGAATTGTGCAGCCGTAATTGTTGACTTTGGTGAATAGTAATGACTTTTTAACTTTTTGAGTAACTTTTTGGCTTTTTGGCTTTTTTTAAACTACCCAAACTAGACCTTAATCTAAATATATTTAAAAAATATAAAATTTCTATAAAAAACTTTTAAAAAATCATTGAATACAACAAAATAAGATAATTTATTAATTTTTTTCTATTTTTAAATTTTTTCTATATTTGGTGAATTAAAAAAAAATCAACAAATATTATATTTCTTAAGTATATTTAGGTTAGGTGTATCTCAAAAATAAAAAAATTGCTTAAAATATTAAAAAATTTCAGTAAAAATGAAAAACACAAAAAATAAAAAAATTATTATTTTTTTGTGTAAGTTAAACCAAAGAAGATGGTTGTTATTTTCCTTGAAATGATATGAACAAAATATCTGTGTTATTTATTTCATATGTATAAATACTACGGGACAAATATGTCATTTTAATTTAATAGTGGGTAAGTATAAATTTTTAAATATGAGAAAAATACGTATTAAACAGAAATCTCAGATGTGTCAATGTAATTTACCCTTATTATATTGATGTAGAAGTTGTGTTAGAGGTGCAAATTATACATAATAAAATATTTTTATGGCACATGATCCTTAATGTATTATTTTCAGTCTAATTTTAAACCTAAATTTTTTAAAATAAATTGAAAAAAACTTAAAATATAAAGAGTTAAAATGGTAAAATAAAAATAAAATTTTATGGTAAAAATATAAAGAGTTAAAATGGTAAAATAAAAATAAAATTTTATGGTAAAAATGAAAAAATAATTAAATATAAAATGGGCAAAAGTGTTATTTACATAAAATAATATTTTTAGCCCAGACCAGACCAGACCACTCACGACCGCTCTTTCTGCTCGCAACTGTTCGTGTGCAGCACCGTATCAAACGATCCTTTTTCTCCCCTGGGGTTTATCTAATCCAAAACCCTAGCATTCTAAACCCTAACTTCACAAACTCGTAAAAATGACGAAGGTGTACGGAACCGGATTGTTTGATTTCAAGCGTCACCGGGTGGCGGAGTACCCGGTGGAATCACAGCAGATCCGCGAGAAGCCTCCGGAGTCGCAGACGGGTTCGAATTTGCCAAACTCAATAACGCTGATCGAGATTCAGAGGGACCGCCTGACGAAGATTGCGTTGGAGAATTGGTCCAAGGCTGGAGGCGGAGAGAGGCCGAAGAAGTCTTTCAGTCCGGATCTGGTGAAGGAGATTTACGACATGGAGTTGCTGGTCAAGGGTGGTCGGAAGCCCGTGCCGCTGCAGAGGGTGATGATTCTGGAGGTGAGTCAGTACTTGGAGAATTACCTCTGGCCCAATTTCGACGGAGAGAAGGCGACTTTTGAGCATGTCATGTCGATGATACTCATGATCAATGAGAAGGTAGGGCTTTGGCGTGCTTTCTTTTGCTTTTGCAGCTGTGGGTTTTGCTTTTGCTTTTGTGGGTTTTGCTTAATTGTTAAGGAATTTTAGAAAAAAAGGAAAATTTGATAATTTAGGGTTTAATTAGTCTGAATTGGGCTATTGTTTGGTTACTGATAAGTTTTGAGGATAATGGGGAAGAAATTGTAGGGTTTTACATTCTGTGCAGTTTTGGTTCAGAGAAACAAATAATGGAAAATTTCTTTTAAAATCATTATAGGATTGTTTTAAAAAAACTTACCCACTCCCAAGCTTTATACACTCAAATCAATTGGCAAAAGAAATGAGAAACGAGAATGCACCTAAACTTAAGTCTAGTTATTGTTCTTGTAGTATTTTCCTGTTTTTTCTGTCAGCAAGAAAAATAGAGTATGTGGCTCATAGAGAAGACAGAGGAAAAAATAATGTAGCATTGTGCCAAGTATTAAAAGGGACTTGCAACTGTTAGACAAAGAAAAATTCCATAGAGTTCAATCTTTCCATTTTATTGAAGTTTAAGGTTTATTTTATTTATTTCATCTTAGCAACCAAATAGGAGATTATGGAGATTTATTGTGAATACACGGAACTATGATGCTTACGAATCACAAATTTTAAACTTGCAGTTTCGGGAGAATGTGGCTGCTTGGATTTGTTTTTATGATAGGAAAGATATGTTTAAGGCATTTCTTGAGAGGGTTCTTCGGCTGAAGGAGGTATACATTTCTTTTCTTGTTTTTACATATTAATTTGAGAATCTTGTTACTTCATTCGTTTATTTTTAGTAATTTTAGTACCTGAAAATGGTTGAAATTGATGGAAGTGCAGTGTACATATTATTTTTAATTATTATTATTTTTTTCATATTGCTTTTCCATTAGTGAATGAGATTAAATTCCTGACTGACAACTTTTAGAGAAGACATTGTCATGTTCTCTGAACAATAATCCAACATCAATATATATATTTTGAGGTTGTCTAAACTGCATAGAAGGGTATTTAATTGAAATGGCCATAGTGCTTGCATGGGACTCTCTTGATTGTCTATACCTTGGTTTTCTGAGTTTACTTTATGAAACTTGCTCTGAATGCCAGCTTTGTAATGGGAACACCTCTTCTGCTACTTTAGGTTTTGACTTCTTGTTAGTTTTCATCCAAGCAGATTAACCTCCTTGTTTTGGTCAACTAGGCTAACGATGTTGGTTGCATTTTTTACTAGCCAAGCACATTGATCTCAATGCTAGAATGGGCATATATGTGTTAATTAGACTACAAATCTCTCCAATTGTAAGGACAGAAAAACCAGCCTCAATATAGTAGGTCGTAATACTTTAAATATAACTTTAATTATGAGCTTTTGATTGCTAACCATAAACACATTCCCCAATAGTGAGAAATATTCAATATATATCTTATACTATTTGCTCCAATCCAATAGTTGACTTGCCTTGAATGAAAATTGTGATCGATCCCAGTGCACGGTTGATTGTAGTGTACATGCAGCTATTTGCAACATAGACCAAGTAGTTTATCATATAAATAGGTGATTTTATTCAAGTTGAAGTACTAAAAGGAGGAGGCTTGGAAGAATGTAGGTAGACATTTGAGAGACAAAAGTTAGGGACAAAAGTTGGAGAAGTGTTAGAGAGATTGCTTGTATGTTTTGGTATTGTTGCTGGTTCAGGTATCTTAATGAAAGCTTATTTTAATCGATGGAGAAAATCTTCATTATTCAAATTGATGAAGCTTCAAGGGGGCAGCTCATTATAATTACGGAAAGGAATAGGTTTAGAAGTTATTCATTGCTTGTGAATATGGGATGTGCTTTTTGGATCAGTACTACATTAAAGGAACCTATTAGGTTCTTTGATGGATGCTATTTTTTTTTATTATAAAGAAAATACAGAAATGAGGGCTAATGTCAGTCCTAGTGGTTCTCCAATAGTAAAGGAGTTTTTATTGAGATCTCTATGTGGGTTAGTGGGAGAAATAGTGCTAATGTCAGTCCTAGTCGGTAGCTCAAGGGTGGACTGTTTGGAAAATTTGATCCATACCATAGTGTTTGGGGAAGTGTCTGAAAGGAGTGGGTAGAAACTAAGGTAGGTTAGCTGGGGAGGAGGGATTCCAGAATGTGGCAACTTTTTTTCCTTTGTTTGGCACCCTTAAGAAGTCAAAGACTTTCGACATTGGAAAGCTAAAAGATTTGATTGGAATATGACTATTGCGTACTAGAGAATTTGCATGATTCTTGGAACATGATTAAGAGAGCTTTGGATAAAATATTGAAGCAGAGAGTCCAGTGTCTTCCATTTCGTGTTAACAAGTCCTTGATTTTGTGTAAGTGTAATAGTATGGAGACCGTGACCAAATATGGTGACATTGATCAACGGACTAGAAAATTTTCCAATTTATTCTAAGCAAGGATTAAGGTAAATGGATTTGATTTAGGATTCATTTCGGTTGGGATTTCTTTTTTTTTTTTTTTTTTTTTTTTTTTTTTTTGTGGTGCTTTGAATTTGCCAGTTTGTTTGAAAGTTGTTTCAAAGCTAGAAGGGTTGGTGATGGCTGTCAAACAGAGCTTCTTAGAGATGGTTGAACCAAAATTCCATTCATCCAGTGGGAGGGGGAAGAAGGCAACCCTAAGTAGCTATTACCTGGCAAAAGTTGGGTGGTCAATAGACGAAATGTAGATGCTATTCTTGGTTACATTCGACGATCACAACATTTTGGATGTAGCTTTGATTGCTGATGTGGTTGTAAAAGAGTATAGTTTCGGGATAGGTTTGGAGTTGTTTTCAAGGCTGATTTTGAGAAAGCATATGACTAAGTGGAGTGGGATTTTCAGACTTTTTTATTTAAAAGAAAGGTTTTAGTAAGAGATGGAGAAGGTGGATGCATGGCTGTCTTGCCTCTTCTAATCTTTTACTTGTGAATGGGAAACCAAGTGATACTTTCAATGCATCCAGGGGCTCAAGGCAAAGGATCCTTTATCCTTGTTCTTGTTTACTATTGTTGTTGACGTGCTAAGTAGATTGGTTGATAGGGCTTCTAAGAGGAGGGGTCTTGTGGATGGCTTTGTGGTAGGGGTAGATTGTGTGTTAGTGTAACATTTGCCGTTTGCAAAGGATACCATTTTCTTTCTTTGGGTGAAGAAGATAAAATGATTAACTTGCATTAAATCATTACAGTTTTTGAGATGGTTTCTAGGCTCAAGGTTTATATGAGGAAAGGTTCAGTAGTGGGGATTAACTTTTCACAACATAGGTTGATTAAAGTGGCTGAGATTATGAGTGGTTCAATAGAGTCTTTACCAATTAAGTGTCTTGGTCTGTTGGGATGTTGTCTCACTCCCTAGATGTAAGGGAGGCCTTGGTTTGGGCATTGTTGTTGACAATATTGCATTGCTTAGTAAGTGGTTATGAAGATTTCCAAGCGAAAGTTTCTTTGTGGCTTGCAATTAAAAAAGTATGGGCTTTAGGCGAATTAGTGGGATAGTGGTGGAGAGAGGGATTTGCCGTTCTCCATGAAAATTTATCTCAAGTCATTTTGAGGTTTTCTTTTCTTAATCAACTTCTTCTTGTTGGTGGGAGTTATTTTGATTTTGGGAGGATACTTGGAAGGGGGAGAGTCCATTTGCTCATCTATCTCCCTGATTGTATCTTTTATTAAGAGCTCATAATGCTTCAATGGTTGCAGCTTCTTCAGTTTCAATTTCATGGTACTTCCAAGTACTATCGGAATCTAAATGATCATGAAACCACCAACTCTGTTTTTTTTATGGCAATTCTTGAGAATGTTTTGTTGTCTAATGTGTCTTTTGATAAGATGGTGTGGTGTCTTTATTCTTCCTAGTTGTTCTTCTGTAGGTCCTCTTTTTATTGTCTTATTGACAATCAAAATGTACAATTTTGTCCTCACCATAAGATGATTTAGGATGCTTGATGCTTGTGTACCTATTGAGGTTTAAGTATTTGCATGGACATTGGCTCATAAGAAACTGAATAGCAATGACTGTTTGCAAAAGAGACGGCTGAGTTCGTACTTGTTCGTGCAATGGTGTGTTATGTGTAGGGGCCTGAGGAAAGTATGGATAATTTATTTTGCATTGTCCTTTGGCTCTATTTCTATGGTGGAGAGTATTCCATTTGATAGAGGAGGATTGCGTTATTCCACCATCTTGTGAGAAATTGTTATGCATTGAATTTTGCAGGATTCAGTTCAAATGCCAAGGCTCAGGCTCTTTGGAGATGAGTTGTTTGTGCCGTTCTTTTGGTTTTATGGCTAGAAATGTATGCTAGGATTTTTGAGGAGAAAAGTGAAGAAGTTGAGAGCGTCTGGGAGAAATTTGTTAGCTTGTTTTTTTTGATGGTTTCAAGGGTCCCTTCTTTTAAAGAAATTCCATTGTTATTCATTTCTAGAGATTGGAGTGCTATTTGTAAAGTCTGATGTTTCATTCTTTTTCTTTTCTCTTGATTTCGGTGCACTTCTTGCCCCCCTTCTTCTTGTATTTGCTCAACTTTTTGAGAAATTTCTTTGCCGATCAAAAAAAGAAAAAAAGAATGTAGGTTGACTAGAAGAAAGTTGGGGATCTCCTTTGGTTAAGCTTAGATCCTTAGGATATGGCTTTACATGGAGGATGGATCCATGTAGCTGATGTCAAATAGTTGTGTTAATGCTTATTCTGTCGAATTTGGCAACCTTACTTTAGAATTATCCCTAGTATGACTAATTAATTTTTGAATACTGAGACCTTTACGTAAATTACAGAAAATTGTAAAGAATTTCAAATCTTATTGAACATGCTGGGTTCATGTCAGTGAATATGACTCACTAATGTCTAGGAACTTTTGGTATCTGTGTTACTTTGGCCAAACTATCATTTATTTTAGCAGTTGTATCTGGAATGTGACAACAGGTTTGTCTTTTTGATTGGTCCTGGAATTGCCCCTGAATTTTAATTTTAAAGTGATTGATGGGGTTGGTCACCTATATTGACTTTGTTTAAGCATTAATATGCGGTAAACATGTATGACAGTTTTCCAAAAGTCAGGCCCATTTGGTGCACTGTCTTTTTTGGCCTTTGGTGCAGATCTATGTTTGTTTTTTGTTTTGTTTTGTTTTGTTTTGTTTTGTTTTTGTGACAAAAATTGTATGAATTCAAGCAATTTATCTGATATGTTAATTTATGTCATCAAGGTATAGAGCTGTGTTTATTGTATTGAATATTTGTTGCCAAATTTACTTTTAGGAAATGGGAGGTAGCTTCTATTTATGGTTCTGATATATATGCCAGAACATGTAGAGACACATTTTGTGCCTCTTAAAAAAATAAAAAATAAAAAATTTAGACACTTTGATTTTAAGCAATCATGTTTTCAATTGTTTCAATTGACAACCTGGTTGAGCAAACAAATTTTTGAATATTTATAAATATCTTAATGAATGTCTGACATTTTCAATGTGGCTGTAGGGTAGAAGCTTAAGTATTGCTGAGAAGACTAATTACCTGCTTTTCATGATTAATGCCTTTCAGGTATGGCAATTTTGTTATTTATGTTGGCATTGCATGTAGTTCATTTGTTTGAAATCAATTTTTTGGGTATGATGCTTGCTTTTGAGTAACATTTAAGCGTCTGATTCCCTTTCATATTGCGTTTACCAATTCAATGACTAGATATTGTCTTCAACGTGTTTAGTTAATTCATCCATGACTAATGCAAATAGGTCAGGATTCAAAGATGACCTTTGATTTAATTGTACAGTGAAATTCACTAGTTCTTTCTGCAGGTATTCTAATTGTAGTCACAACCTCATCCTACATGTCTTTTATCACATCAATATACCTTGCGGCGGGGGTTGAGGGGGGTAAACAATGTAAAGTGGCTTCCTTCGTCATAAACTCGGTAAAGCTTTACTAAATAACTGAGAAAGTTAACGAAAAGGAGGCCACTATGACATATTAAAAATAATAACTCTCTTATGTGAAAGTACATAACTAACATACTATGATTCTTTCTTATACAACTTTATTACTGTCCTAAACAACAATTATTCCTTGCTATAGACGCCTATCGGATCACAAAAAGGAGAGATGCATTGAAAATGTTTTGTATACTTAGTGCTATTTTGTGCCATTTGAATATGTCACAAGTGTTGTTTTCAAATTGTGAATTGAATCGTGAATAGTTGTGCTAAAGTAGTCAATCGTGAATCCTATTGAATTGTGAATCATAAGATTTGTTAAAAATCATGTATTATTGATTGATATTGATGTATTACAAGATTGATTGTATTGATATATGTATTGATATTGTGTGTCTATTACAATTACAAGGATTCCTATTATATAGGAGTGTGTTTGGGAGTAGGTGGAGAGTAGGTGAAGTGGAGGTGGTAGTGGTGTAGTGGGTTAGGTTTAGTGGAGTGGGTGAGGTGGTAGTGGTGGTAGGTTTATGGTAAATTCTAACAAGATTCACTTTGTTTAATATAGTATATAGTTATCTATATTATAATGCAGGAGAGTTTTTGAAAATGTATCAAAATGTATTAGAGATAGATTTTGTATCAATGGCTGAGATCAATCCTAAAGCACATCTAACGGTTGAGATCAATCCTCTCAAGTGTACCAAACACTTGGTTCCCGCACAAACACTCCTCTCTCTCTCTCTTCTTCTTGATTTTAAACTCTCTTTACCCATTTCTCTCTCAGCTTTTGCCTCTCCATTTCTCTATTCCCATTTCTCACTCAGACTGTCATTCTCCGGCGGCTCGTTGCCACTGTTCACTCCGACAGCTCGGTTCACTCTGACCGTCTAGCATCGAAAGGTTTCATCATTTCATCGAAAGGTTTTATCATTTCATCGAAATGTTTCATTGTGTTGGATTTGTGTAATTTTTTATTTTTGTTGATTAGGTATGTGTTTGGATTTGTGTTTCTAAGATTTCAGTCTGTGTTTGTGTTTCTAAGATTTGTTTTTCTAAATCTTAATCCACATATTCAATGGAACCACTCTCTGTAATGAAAACCCATAAAAAGTTGAAATAGAGCATTGAAAATTAATGTCGAAATCATATACAATCAAGTCAAACATAACTCAAATCATTCGAATTTGTCATAACTTCAAGTTTTTAGAACAGAGCATACAAAGAAACTGAAAGGTAAAGCCAAAAAATAAACAAGGGATTAGTCAAAATCGTTGAAATCAAAGTAAAATTTCAGTTTTTGAAAGCAAAAGAGACACTTGATATACATCAATTTGGGGTTGTGTTTGTTTTTCTAAACCTTAAATCGATATGTGTTTGTGTCGGGTTTGTGTTTCTAAATCTTAAACCGATATGTGTTTGGGTTTCTCTTTCTTTTTTTGTGTTATGTTTTTTATTTTTATTTTATAATATTGATTTATGTAGCTTTCAATTTATATGGGTTTGTGTTCTATTCCTTTTATTTTGTGTTTTGTTTCTTTTTTATTTTCTTTTTTTGTGTTCTTTTTTTGTTTTTTTGACTAACCAAATGGCCGTTGATAGAGTCGAGTGGAGAAGAAAAATTCATGTAGCCGACCCCATTTGATGAGATTTAAGGTTTGGTTTGGTTTGTTGTTGCCTATAAAATCTCACAGAACCATGCAAAAGGGACTCAAGATTTTGGGTTCAAAATACCACTTGAAATTTTGTTTAATACTTCTTGAGGACTTTTTCTACAAATTAGTTTAAGCAATATGAGAACTTTGTTTAAAGTAATCCCACTCATTAACTTTGTTTAGAGTGCACATTATACACAGAGGCAGATTTAGATAAACAAGACAATAAGGTTGACATATTTTTATAAAGCATATTTGGGTGCTAAACCACCAAAGTAATAAGAACTCAATATATCCAAAGTAATACGAACTCAATCTTTAGAAAATTTATAAATTAATTGAATAGTGCTGTTATATAAATTAGTTTAACAAGCGTACAATAGCTTTGATTTGTGTGTTTTGTTTAGTGCTTACAATTTTTTTTTTTTTTTTGACTTGCTTGGCAGGTGTGCTTTTATTTTCTTATAATTGCAAAACAATATTTCTTTTATATGTTTTTTTACTCCACATTTCACTATTTTGATTTGTAATATTGGTGAACATTATAAAGTATATGTTTATTCCTTAATATTAGTGAACATTATAAATTTTATATGTTTATTCCTTAATTTGCATTAAGGGTGGGGGGAGTTGTTATTTTTAATTGAGTTATGTAGAGCATGTGGTACAAGCAAAATTGTTAAAAGTTCTTTAAGAAGAAAAATATTTCTTTATATTTTTTTCAGTGTATCAAAAAATGCTACACACACCACAAATTTCAACATGATACATATAAATTACAATTGTATTTTGATCTCAACATTATTTACACCGTACCTTTAGGTACGAACATACACTAGTTTATGAACATATACACATGGTGTTTAAAATGAAATAAATATCAACATAACCAAATTGTATATATGTATATAAATGTAAAACCGCGCATATCTATATAATTATAAATAAAATAGAAAACATAACGAAATCACAGTGAATCGCGTGACTTGCTTTAATTTCGATTCAAGAACACAATTCAAATTTGAGTGGGTTAAAACTCATATTGAATTGTCATTCACACGATTCTAACCACCTATGAAACACGAGTACGAGTACGGGTACCCATATGGTATGAGTTTGTTGATACAGTAAAATCTAAAAAAAGTAGGGTATAGGTACAATTTAGTACGTCTTGAAAAGATGATTATTTTTAATCTGAAGTAATGCAAAAGTTTAGTTGGTTAAAATCCAACCTACAATTCACATTTAATGCCAAAAGTAAGGTTTAAATCAAAATTAAATGTCACTATATTAAATAACTTACAAACAAAAGCTTAATTTTAAAATCATTCTAAGCATAAAAAAGTCCAATGAAACTAGCTTTACCTTTGTATGGAAGAAAATATTTTTCTAGCTGAGGTACAACTTGGGTATATGTTGGGTACTTCTGTTGTATGGCAAAAATTAATAAGAAAGATTTAAGTTTGTGTTTCATGAATTTGGTACATATGCAGAAGTACTATGCAAAGTACCAGTACTCGGTACAAGTACAAAATGCTTGTCGAAGTACCCATGCTTTATAGCTAACAACTATTGCCAAGTTTGAAGACTCTTACATGTTAATGACAATAATGACAACAATAATCTCCCAATTACGATTGGAGTGCCGTTGGGATTATGTTTGTGTGGGACCAAAGAATGCGAATAGTCATTGCTCTTTGGTTTTCTTGCGCTACCCAATATAATGATGAATTAACTTTGTTAGTGATAAAAATGAAGTCAGACACTTTCTAGTCCTGAGATGCATTGGAAATTGAGAGAGAAGGCTAGGATGTGTTATTGAAGGAAGTCAATCAGTTGGTATGCTTGTAGAAATGCACCTGAGGAACTAGAAAACAAAGCAATCTGTTGGCACCGGTTTTTTGTTTTTTTTCCCCTTAACAAAATATATTATTGGAATGTGGTAGTCAGTTTTGGAAGATGAAATTGTGATAGAGAATAGAGTTATAGTTGGCAGAATTGTCCTTGACATCATATGGTTCCTTTTTTTTTTCTTCTCTTTTTTTCACAAGGCATATGGTGGAATGTGAAATGATGGTCCTTGAAAAATGCAGGATGTTTTTCATTCTCATACATATATATATGGTGGTATGTGATGGGTCGGTACACGTGTAAAAAGGGGAAGGAAATAGGGTTGTCTGGCTGTGTGATAATAGTGTGTAACACTGGTGTGTGATGTTGTGAGCAATAATTGTAAGGGGCTGTCGGAAATATACGCGAAAGTGTATTTGTCTTAAGATTTGTAATTTCTACTGCGAGTAGATTCTTCTTACTCGCCAGTGGATCTATGCATTTTTTACCCAACTACATAAACTATGTGTTTATTTTTCTTTGCTTTCATTGCTTGAGTGGGTTTATTCCCAACAAGTGCAGCGCATACAATGTTGCTCTATGAAGCACGAACACTTGTTCGGAGGTCACGTGCCGGTGTCTGACATGTGTTGGACACAGACACTTCAGACTTGGCGATGTCACATTGTTTCTTTTTATAGTTTTTAGTTTTTATTTTTATTTTTCACTAGGGTAGGATGCCCAAGGTTGATGAACCGAACCAAACCAAACCAAACCAAGCCAAGCCTTAAGTCCCATCAAATGGGATCGGCTACTTGAATTCTTCTTCTCTACGCGACTCTATCCAAGGCCATTTCGTTAGTCAAATTAAGGAGATTCATATCTCTATTTACTACACTAGTTCACTTCAATCTAGGTCTACTCCTTCCACTAACACTATTATCTACTGTCACTGTATCGCATCTCTTCACTACTGCCTTTGTTAGTCTCCGTTGTAAATGACCAAACCATCTCAATCTATTTTCTTTCAACTTGTCTTCTATCGGTACTACTCCTACTCATTCTCGAAGATACTCATTCCTAATTTTGTCTTTTCTAGTCTTGCCACACATCCACCTTAGTATCCTCATCTCAGCAACACTCATTTTATCTACATGTTGTTTCTTGGTTGCCCAACATTTCGTCTTATACAACATCGCTGGTCTAATAGCCGTTCTATATAACTTCCCTTATAGTCTAATGGGTATGCATTTATTGTACAGTACTCTAGATGCACTCTTCCACTTAAACCACCTCGCCTTAATTCTGTAGACCACATCCGAAGATTTGTGTGTCCTTGTGTCTGTTGTCTCGTGTATTTGTATCTGTGCTTCTTAGATGCTGCTTAATGCTTACTGACAAGAAATTTGAATGCTTGTAGAAAAATACTTATCTTTTATTCTTTACTAATAAATTGTAAATGTCCTTTTTTTGAATTACTTCCTGGGACAGAGCTTGGAAGATGAGATAGTAAGTAAACACATCTTAAGATTAGCAAGTCTGCAGTGCTGGCATAGTCTATCATATGGTCGTTTTCAGGTAAGCTTTATATGGCATATTTTGGTTGTCTTGAAAGGAGTTGATATTTTCTCACACCTTTTATTTGGTTTTTGACTTGCTTCTGTCAAGTGTAGATGGAACTTTGTGTTAATCGAGATCTGATCAAGAAATGGAAAAGGATCACAAAAAAGGCTAAGGAAGCAAACAAACGAGGAGAGCTCTTTGATCCTTCAACTTTGCTGGAAGTGACTTTTGTGAGAAATCTCATTGAAGAGTTTTTGGAGGTACTATTTCACTGAAATCGAACTTTTTTTGATCTGTTATGTTTGGTAGTCAAGATCTGATTTAATTTTATTTAAAATTTCTTTACAGGTACTTGATTTGAAAGTTTTTCCTCGTAAACAAAGTGATAATGAGGATGATACACTTGATGTAAATGGTGATGCTTGTGTATTGTACTGTGAGAGGTTTATGGAATTTCTTATTGATCTCTTGAGCCAACTACCAACGAGGAGGTAATGCCACGTCCTGGAATTATCGTTATTTTGTTGTGAATTAAGTTTGACAGAATTGGTTTCGTGCTTCTTTTTTCTACATCATGTTCCCAAAAGCCTCATTATGTTTTTCCATATAGTCTTCTAGAAAGTTTGTTGCAGTGTTTTGCTTGTGATGATATGTGCTCTAGTGCCACATGAAAACTCTAATTTTCTAATATAGAAAATTAGATTGCTAGCAGTAATATTTATGAGTTTATTGTACAGTAAGTTTGGTCGGTAAAAAAGTGAAAACATATTCTAAGAATTTTTTTAAAAAATATCTGATTTTGGAAATTGGAAAAATGAAAGTAATTTCGACATAAAGGGTACTTATCTTGATTCAAAGAATAGGCCTTGTGGTTGATTAGGTATGGCCACGGGGCAGGTTTGGTATGAGTTTGGTCTGATCCTACCCCGCTACTAATGGAAAAACTGTCCCCATAGCGTCCCATACCCACGACAGGTTGGAACTCAAGACCTCATCCCCGTTTATGAATTGACCCCTTATCTCGTTCCCACCACACCGCCACGGTTTGTTTTTGTTCAACAGCAAAGAATCTTATATTAGAGAACATACCAAGGGGTTACCACCCTTACATGACCAAATAAAAGAGAAATAAAGAAAGCAAGACAAAAAAGTACAAAAGATAAACCCAAAATCTAAAAGCATCCACTCCAGATTATCGTTATGCTTTAATAAATGCCCACTCCACAAAATATTCTTTCTCATTCTTTACTCAACTTATGCGAAACAAGGGGCTTTCTCATCTTTTGACTTCGATTTTTTTTTCTTTCTTTTTTTCTTTTTTTTCTGAAACAACAATACCCTAATTATGTTCTTGATACATGATTGAAACACACAATCTTCAAAGAACACATTTCGTCAACCCAATTGCCGAACATAGAAAGCAAAAATATGGGATACACAGTCAACAGAGAGAATTTTGTGAAGGAAACAACACAGAATGCCAGGAAGATGATGTTTCAGACTGAGAAAGCTGAGTGAGAGAAGGGGCAACCTTGGAGGTTGGAGCCTTGCTGGTGGCAAACTCAGTTCCCTCATTAGGACAATGATCAACAGTGATGATTGAGGCGGTGACTCTGGTCATGATCGAGGTGGTGACTGTAGCCATGATTGAGACGGCAACCATTGGCAACAAGCAACAATGGTGTTTGGTGAACTGGTGGGTAGGGGAAGGGAGACTGCATCGTCATCATGAAATGAGGATGTGGAGACGGAAACCTAGATTTTGAGTTATATAGATATATATAGCTATGTATATGCAAGGGTATATCTGTTATAGAATATAGTTTGGAGTGGAATCTATTTGTGTACCAGGGTGCATTCGGGATGGGGTGGCCTAGACCCTAGCCCATCTCAAACCTATTTTGAGTTTTACCTCTTCACAGCATAACCCGCCCCTACTCCAGTAAAGCCCTGGAGAGAAAATAAGGCAAATTGCCATCCTATGGTTGATACACCCCCATCCACCTGGCAAGTTCAAATTGTAGAAACAAATGGGATTTGGCTGTCCAGTGAAGCTTGGGCAGAGAATTGGAAATGTATATTTTGTCATTCAAAAACACCAAATGGGTCAATGATTGAGGGGAAATTGTTTAAGACATGACAAGTAATGTGTCCTTCATTGAGTCAGACCCTTCTCAAAAATCTCCAATGAAATAGCCTTGAATGATGAACTCGAAGGAAGGCTGAAATGTTCTGTTTGAAAGACCTATCATGACACCCAAAATAGTTGCTAAATGAGCTACCTCCATAACATTCCGTACATAATCAGTTCAATATATTTATTTTTTCGGATTTGCTTGTAAACACGAGACTTTTGAAATAGAAAAGGATACACCTTGCTCACTACCTAAGTGCCTGAACTTATCGATGTTTTCCTTACAAAAGAGACCTGTATCATTTATATAAAATAAAAAAAAATAAAAAAAGAGACTAGATATGGTACTTCCCATTTGCTAAAAATGTTGTTTTGGAAGGAGTGAAACTGGATATAAATTTAACATTTGCATCTTAGTGGACTGCTTTAGAGTCAAAACATGTTTTTTTGTGTTTGTCACGTTGAGCTTTTACCATTGCACCAAGCAATGCTCCTTGTCATTTATCAAATTTATACAACTTTCTTTTAAATATATACAATTATATATACATTTAAGTTCAGGTACAATATTCTATATATTTATGCCGTGTAGTGCGTTTCCATGTCATGTCAGCTTTTCCAAATATCAATTTAATTGCCTTTAATAATAAAAATATATGCACTCTCATAACAACTTCTTATGCTATGCATTATTTTTTTTTGGTGGTGCTGTCGCAGATTTTTAAAGCCTCTTGTTGCTGATGTTGCTGTTGTTGCTAAATGTCATTTAAGCGCTCTTTATAGACATGAAAAGGGGAAACTCTTTGCACAACTGGTTGACTTGCTGCAGTTCTATGAAGGTTTTGAGATTGACGATCGTTTAGGCAGACAAATGACTGATGATGAGGTGCTCCAATCTCATTATGACCGCCTCCAGGCTTTTCAGCTATTTGCATTTAAGAAGATTCCCAAGGTCTGGTTTCCTTTTAGATAATTTCTAGAGCTGCTGCTTTTCTTCACAAATTATTTATGGTTTTGAAGGGTATTTATTTTTACTTGATTTAATTTTATGTTTTCCCCATGTATGTAGTTGCGGGAACTTGCATTGGCTAATATCGGCTCAGTTAACAGGCGTTCTGATTTATCAAAGAAACTCTCTGTGCTTTCTTCTGAAGAGCTGAGGGACCTAGTCTGCTGCAAGGTTCGTAAACCAATTGATTGGCTGGTCTGTTTTGGGCAAAAAACATTTAAAATGAGAGCATTTCACAGATTCTGCATTAATGAGTTTGTTTGTTTTGGATCTATTCTTTAGAATATTAGAATGGTTTCCAATTGAAGTTTTACTGACATTCTTTATTGTTTCGCATTGTAAAGCCGTATCCAGTGTATGCTGATTAATTAATTCTAGAATAATTCATTGCTAGGAATAATTTGGTGGCTTGTTCGTTCAAAGTGAGACTCTTGTCAGAGTAATACGTATTTGGCATGGTTGTTAAAATCGCGACCCGGATACTTTGCCAAAACGATCGTTGTAGGATCGATGTTACAACAGGATCACAAGTAGGATCGTGTAGGATCGCATGGGATCGTATAGGATCGTAGGTAGGATCGCAAGTAGGATCGTAGATTTTATGCTTTTTCACCTTATTTTTAATATGTATCATTTTAATTTTTATCTTTTTTTTTAATAGAAAGTAGGATCTTACGATCCTCGATCCGATCCACCAGACCCTCTCACCGATCCTACTTAGATCCCGATTTTAACAACCTTGGTGTTTGGTGGGAATGCCTGTCAGCCGGTTCCCTATATGTATTGTTTCCTAGCTGACTCACGACTTGATTCACAGCATATATGGTTGATTCAACTGCTACAAAACTACTCTCTCTCTCTCTCTCTCTCTCTCTCTCTGTGTTTTTCTTTTTTTCTTTTTGCAGTTGATAATTTAAAAAAATTCACGACCACATCACCCCAATTCTTAAGTATTAGTCGATACTCTCGATTCTGTTACGCCACGACCAATAACTATTTGTCTCCCGATATTGCTATTGTAGAAATTTAATGTATAAAGAGAAATGGAGAAATTGTATTATTGATTGATATAATGTTCTATACATTACAATGATTCATGATTCCTATATATAGAAGAGGGTGAGTGTGTAGTAGGTAAGGAGTAGGTGAAGTGGAGGTGGTAGTGGTATAGTGGGTTAGGTTTAGTGGAGTAGGTGAGGTGGTAGTGGTGTAGTGGGTTAGGTTAAGTGGAGTAGGTTTAAGTGGGTGAAGTAGGTGATAGGTTTTAACAGCTATTTAGAACCTTGGGTCCTGGTCTTGTTGTTTATCAACAAAAAATTAAAAATGTTGGTCCTGGTCTCTGTTAGCAAAATCCTGGTGACATAGTAGATCTTTTTATTTTTGTTTGTTGCCATTCAATTTGGAAACTTTTTTTTTATTGCCTAAGTGCTAAATGTTGCAAAACAATAATGGCCAGGTTTGCCAATGATGTAGATTCATTATCTTTCTTCTTGGCTGACCACATTGGTGATAATTTTAGAGAATTCAAGATTAGGGAATGATTAAGATATCATCCCTTATTTATATTAATGAAGATTAATAATTGCAAGGGAGCCCTAAGGCATAGAATAATTACAAAATAATAACTCAAATAATAATATATCATGCCAACACTCCCTCTCAAGCTGGTGCAAAGATATCTCTCATGCCCAGCTTGCCTAAGATGTCATGAAATGGGTTACTCCCAACTCCCTTGGTGAGGATATCAGCAAGTTGTTCACCAGACTGCACAAAGGGAGTACATATGGTGTCACTAGTGAGTTTCTCCGTAATGAAGTGGCGATCAATCTTAATATGCTTTGTCCTGTCATGTTGAATCGGATTGTGAGCGATGTAGATAGTGGCCTTATTATCATACTATAACCGCATGGAGTCCATCTGATCAATACCTAGATCACTTAACAATAACTTGATCCATAAGAGCTCACACACCCCTTGTGCCATAGCTCTAAACTCAGCTTCTGCACTTGACCTAGCAACCACATTCTGTTTTTTATTCCTCCAAGTAACTAGGTTGCCTCCAACAAAGGTGCAATATCCTGAAGTCGATCTCCTATCATTTACAGATCCAGTCCAGTCAGCATCTGTATAGGCTTCCAGTCCAGTCAGCTCTAAAGTAAAGGTCTTTACTTTGAAAAATAAAGACCTTTACCAAGAGCAGATTTCAAGTATCTCAAAATTCTGATGACAACCTCGAAGTGAATCTAATGAGGAGCATGCATAAACTGGCTAACCACACTGACAGCAACAACAATATCAGGACGGAAGTGAGATAGGTAAATGAGCTTACCCAATAATCGCTGATAGCTCCCCCTATCAACTGTTTCTCCTCCTTCATCATCTCCCAATTTCTGATTGGGTTCCAGTGGAGTATCACAGGCCTTACAGCTAAGCATCCTAGTTTCCTTCAATAGGTCAAGCACATACTTTCTTTGTAAAATAAATGTCCCATCCTTGGGTCGAGTAACTTCAATTCTTAGAAAATACTTCAAGCTTCCCAAGTCTTTGATTTCAAACTCATAGGCTAAATATTTCTACAACAGAATTATTTCCTCACTATTATCGCATGTAAGAACTATGTCATCTACATAAACAATAAGTGTTGTAGTCTTACCACGTGAGGAATGTTTCACAAACAAGGTGTGATCTGCCTGACTCTGTTTGAAGCCATATTTAAGCATAGCCTGAGTGAATCTCTCAAACCAACCTCTTGGAGACTGTTTGAGACCATATAATGACTTCTGAAGCCTGCATACTTTGCCTTTTGTCTGATGATCCTCAAAACCAAGAAGAATGTCCATATATACCTCTTCTTCAAGGTCACCATGGAGAAAGGCATTTTTTACATCAAACTGATGAAGTGGCCAATCTAGATTAGTTGCTAGAGGGGAAAAGTACTCTGATTGAATTCATCTTAACCACAGGTGCAAAGTTCTCTTGATAGTCAACACCTTATGTCTGAGTGAACCCTTTTGCCACAAGTCTAGCCTTGTAACGCTCAATAGAACCATCCGTTTTGTGTTTCACAGCATACACCTATTTACATCTCACAGGTCGTTTGCCCGTAGGTAACTCAGTCAATTCGCAAGTGCCATTCTTCCTAAGTGCTTTCATTTCCTCAATCATGGCAAGTTTCCACTTAGAGGTAGCAAGAGCATCTTAAAAATGGTTAGGAATGCTAATAAAGGAAATATTTGACCCAAACGCTCTATATGAGGATGGCAAATGAGAGTAGGACACAAAATTGGAGATAGGATGTTGAGTAGAAGATCTCACACCCTTTCTCTTAGCAATAGGAACATCAAGATCGATGGACTCAAGAGATTCAAAGTTACCTAGAATCTCATCAGAAGCAGGAGATGGCAGTGGAGGAGCAGAAGTGGTCTCTTGCATCTAGTTAACTTTCTGTCTGTCTTTGTTTCTAACACACACTTGCCTTTTCCTATCCTTGGTGACATTAGGCTCTGTAGTCCCAGTAGGAGGTGGTGGTGCAAGAACAGCTGGTTCCATAATAGGTATCACAGGAATCACTTCACACCAAGGCTCCCTTTGAAGGGAGGACCGTGACACTGAAGAGGACAAGAAATAGGACGAGGACTCAAAGAAAGTGACATCCATGGACACAAACCACTTACGAGAAGGAGTGTGGTAACATTTATACCCTTTTTGAGTAGGAGAGTAACCAAGGAAAACACATTTGAGAGAGCGAGGATCCAACTTACCACGAGTAGAAGAGTAATTATGGACAAAACAGACAACCAAATATTTGAGGAGGAATAGAAAACAAGGACTAGGAACGTAGGAGGACTTGAAGAGGAGCTTGTTTTTGCAAGACCTGGGTAGGAAGACGGTTAATAAGATGGGCAGTGGTGAGAACAGCGTTGCCCCAGTAGGACTGAGGCACACTCATAGAAAAACACATGCACCGAGCCATGTCAAGAAGTTGGCGATTCTTACGTTTCGTCACCCCATTTTGTTGAGGGGTATTGGTGTAAGAGGTCTAATGGATAATGCCATGAGTAGAAAAATATTCTCCTAACCCAGAATCTATGTATTCTCTCCTCATTATCAAAACAAAATATTTTGACAGGGCCCCAAATTAAGTACAAATCATCTTATGAAAATTGTGGAACACAGAGAAAACCTCACTCTTGTCTTCCATGAGATACACCAAGTAGTACGAGAAAAATCATCAATAAATGTAACAAACCATCGATGACCTTTCACAAACATAACATGAGAGGGATCCTAGACATCAGAATATATTAATGAAAAAGAAACTAAACTTTTATTAAAACTGGGAGCAAAAGAAGCTCTGTGTTGTTTTCCAAGTTGATAAGACTCACAAAGAAACTCAGACACATTATTGTTTGCGAAGCCAGATGGAAATAAATGCTTAACTAAATAAAAAGAAGGATGCCCACGACACCGATGCCACAACCATAAATCATCTTGGGTGGTAGGACTCATGGTGAAAGAATGAGCAAGTTTGTCCGGTTGATCCAGGAAGTAGAGACCATTTGCTGCACTACCACTGCCAATCGTCTTCCTAGTGACAAGGTCCTAAAAAAAGACAATGATCAGGAAAAAACGTCACATTACAATTCAAATTCTGGATAATACGACTCAAGGATAATAGGTTACCAGAAAAATTGGGAACATGAAGTATAAAAGATAGAGGTATGGTAGGAGTGACATAGACTAAACATTTTCCAGAAATGGAAGAAGCAGTACCATCTGCAATCCTAACTTTGTCCTGACTTGAAGAGGGCATATAGGCAGAGAAAAGGTTAGAGGATCCAGACATATGATCTGAGGTACCAGAATCAATAATCTAGGGTAAAGACTTATGAGACAGGAAAACACGAAGAGAAGAGGCTAAGTTACTTGAGCGGGCAAACGACGAGGAAGATGTGCTGAGAGTAGTAAAAGACCGGCGGTCCAGCAAGTGACGCAAAACATCCTCAAGCTTGGGAGTAGTCATGCCACAAAGACCATAAGAAGCCTGGCCAACGGAAGCGAAAGTAGCATCAAGTGTATCAATGGCACTAGACTGATGAGCCCGTGGATGGGAACCACGTTCTCGAGACTGGCCTGACCGACCTCCTCTAGAATCAGACCGATCACATCAACCTCCGGATGGAGGCCCATGAAGCTTCCAACACGTCTCACGAGTATGCCGTTGCTTTTTGCAGTAATCACATAATACAAACTCCTTGGTGGCAGACGGAGGAATGGGAGTCAAGCTGAGGCCATCTCAAGGGGTAGATAGTAAGGTTGAGCGGTCAGTAGAGACAAGGGACATCATAGCAGACCAACGACTCCTTATTTTGTACATAGGCAAATGCCTCCTGAAGTGAAGGAAGAGTGTCCATACCCAGAACTCGACTCTTAACCGAATCACACTCCACATTGAGGCTCGCCAGAAATTTAAGGACCCGTTCCTCTGTGATGAGCTTCCTGTACCCGACTAAATCAGCAGTGCAAACAGGCTTATAGTCCTGTAGGTGATCAATGCGTTTCTAGTCGTTGCTGAGGAAGGTGAAGAACTGAAGAACAGTCTGCTCCCCCTGAACAGAGCTCTCAATAGAGCGGCACAACTCAAATGCCTGTGAGAAATTCTCTTTGTGGGAATAGATGCAGCCACAGCTTCCCAAACATCCTGGGCAGTCTCCATAGACAAGTAGCCCTCACCAATTTCTGGAACCATCAAATGAATAAACCAACCCATAATCAAAGAGTTGGTAATCTCTCATTAGTCATAACCCGGGTCAGTGGTGTTGGGTGCCTGTATCTTGCCATCTACATACCTCATCTTCCCTCTGCTCTTCAAAAACATAGTCAAACTCTGCGACCATGCGAGATAGTTCTGACCATTAAATAGAGAGGTAGTGATTTTAAGACTAGGGTTGGGGTTGTCAGTCATATTAGTAGGTATAGGGAAACTCTCACTCCTAGGTGTCTGAGAAGTAGTGGACACATCGGTAGAATCTGTCATAGATACTGTACTACTAAACCGTCAACAAAACTAGTGTCAATCACAAATCCGGAAGGTGGAGGAATACAAACAAACACAATGACCACTTAGAAAATTAAAGACTTAAAAATTCATCAACTATTTTTTTTGTTTTTTAAGAAACCAGAGACAAACAGAGAAGAAAGAGTAGATAGCAAAAAACGACAAAGCAAGAACAAATGACGAAGCAAGTTGGGTACTATATCAGCATAATGAAGAAGCAATACACCATTGGAGGCTGTCGACTAGGTCTGTCGAGGCTATCAGAGGAGTCAACTAGGCTGGGACAGCCAGCATGAAGGGGCGATGAGGCTAGGAGGCCTGTCGGAGAAGACCAGCAAGGCTGGGTAGCTTGGGATAATGAGCAACGAGGCTAGGGCTGCCTTCAGCAGGCTTCAACAGTGACTGATTGGGCCAAGAAGCACTTCGGCAGTAGCTAATAGGGCTGGGGAAAGGAGTTACACCTAGCAAAACTAAATGGGTTGCTGTGTGGTGGCTGTGTGGTGCGGTTGGGGTGGCTAACGGGTGTGGTGGAGGGATTTAGGGTTGTGGCTCTGATACCATGATAATTTTAGAGAATTCAAGATTAGGGAATCATTAGGATATCATTCCTTATTTATATTAATGAAGATTAGTAATTACAAGGAAGCCCTAAGGCCATAGAATAATTACAAAATAATAACCCAAATAATAATATATTATGCTAACAATTGGATCATATACATTTTTAAAATTGATAATGGTGAAAAGGAGCTTTTGCTTAGTGAAGTAGAAAATTTTGGGGCATAGGGTCTGAGTGGCTGGGTTGGATTTTTAGAAATTCATTGCAGCGGTCCAGAGGTTTGGCTGCAAGAACCAAAGAAACAAAGAGTGGCTGGGTTGGATTTTTAGAAATTCATTGCAGCGGTCCAGAGGTTTGGCTGCAAGAACCAAAGAAACAAAAACTAAAAAATGAAAAAGCATATAATTGAATCAGCAGGATAAAATATTGATTTTAGATTGTCTCTTTTTCTGGTCTATATTTGTGGCTAGTCTTCGCATTGACTCCATTGAGCTAGCACCAATTTTGGTCCTTTTGATGTGCCATTTCCTTTTTCAAATTCTACTGCTTAGTCTAATTCTATACATAAAGGTGACCATAATAAAGTGGGGAATAACTGAATGCAGAAAAGAACAGTACGGTGAGGTCAAGTTGATGCATGTGCCATCCTCTAGTTGATGTGAAAAGAAACAAAGGACAGAAAAAGCGACAAAGGGGTGAAAAAGAAAATGGAAAAATAATTAAAGTTCGTGTCCTTGTGGGCTTATTAACTGAATTGTTTGTTCAATTGTAGTTATTTTATTTGTCACTGATCTTTGAAGTTTATATGTTATATCAAAGAACTGCCTTTGTGTATTCATTAATGCTTTTAGTCACTTCCATTGCATGTGTATGCAATTGTTCCCATGAAGATAACTTTGTTTCGCATGGTTGATGATTTCTTTTTGTTCCTTCAGCTCAAACTGGTATCGAAGGATGATCCATGGTCAGAAAGAGTTGATTTTCTTGTTGAAGTTATGGTTTCATTCTTTCAGAAACAACAGTCGCAGAAGGAGGCCATAAATGCTCTTCCCCTTTACCCGAATGAGCAGATAATGTGGGATGAAAGTCTTGTTCCAAGCATCAACTACACTGGGGAAGGGTGTCTGGCTCTGCCAAAACTTAATTTACAGTTTTTGACACTTCATGATTATCTTCTTAGAAATTTTAACCTCTTCCGCCTTGAATCAACATATGAGATCCGGGAAGACATTCAAGAAGCTGTGCCTCACCTGCTTGCTCATATTAATAATGAGGGAGAAACTGCTTTTCGTGGTTGGTCTAGAATGGCTGTGCCCATTAAAGAATTTAGAATTACCGAGGTAAAGCAGCCAAATATTGGAGAGGTAAAGCCATCATCTGTTATGGCTGAAGTTACTTTCAGCATATCCAGTTACAGAGCACAAATAAGATCAGAATGGAATGCCCTCAAAGAACATGATGTTCTCTTTCTACTTTCTATCCGTCCTTCATTTGAGCCTCTAAGTTCAGAGGAAGCTGCAAAAGCAAATGTGCCACAAAAACTTGGTCTTCAATTTGTACGTGGATGTGAAGTTATTGAGATGCGAGATGAGGAGGGAACCCTCATGAATGATTTCACTGGGAGAATTAAAAGGGATGAATGGAAGCCTCCCAAAGGTGAACTGAGAACTGTGGCAGTTGCTCTAGATGCCGCCCAATACCATATGGATGTCAGTGATATAGCAGAAAAAGGAGCAGAAGATGTTTATGGTACCTTCAATGTATTGATGAGGAGGAAACCCAAGGAAAACAATTTCAAAGCAATTTTAGAATCCATAAGAGATCTAATGAATGAATCTTGTATTGTTCCTGATTGGCTGCATGACATATTTTTGGGGTATGGGAATCCATCTGCTGCACAGTGGATGAATATGCCAGATCTTCTAGAGACAGTAGATTTCAAAGATACTTTCCTTGATGCTGATCATGTCAGACAGGGTTTTCCAGATTACGAGGTTGGTATTATCTTTTCTTGATGTGATTCTATTACTGTTAGTCTATTTATCAATTGTCGATAGTTTCATAAATTTAATTTTTTTGTAGTAATTTTGTTTTCATTGTTATAGGTTTGTTTTATAAATTCAGATGGAACAGAAAACTTGCAGTCGAAGCCTCCTTTTCGAATTAGGCTTCCCAGGAATCTTAAAGGCAATTCTCATGCTCTTCTTGGAAATGAGAAGTCTACCATAGCGTCAATTAATGATGCCAATATGGTGGATGCCAGTTCTGCGAAAGAAAAACTTATTGTTGAGGCTTATGTCCCTCCTTATCCAGGTCCATATCCCCAAGATCAGCCAAAACAGAATTCTGTCAGATTTACTCCCACACAGGTGCTTAGCAATCCTTATTCATTACAAAAATTATGCATGCTATTGAGGGGTTTTATTTTCTTTGCTGTGGTCTATATATTTCTTTTCCTGCACAGTTTGTTTTCCCTATTTTTTTAGCTTCTTGTTTTTGTTGTTAAGTTTTGGGAATTTAAGACAGTTTAACTTCATAAAATCAATTTTATCTTATGCTCCATTTGTTTCAAGTGAACATGTTTTTGGGAAACTATTTTCCACATTTTCTGCTATTGACGCAATGCGATATGGACATGACATGGACATGCTAACACATCGATTTTCAAAAAAATGTAGGACATGATATGCTTGGGACTTGTTAAAATTTTATATTTTTCAAAATTTATTATATGTCACATATATGAATATTTTATTCAAAGATGATAAAAAATATGTCACATTTTTTACATAAGAAGCTATATATTTCATAAATTAAAATATGATGATATCATTCACCTAGCAATTACATTCTAAAGAATGCAAAATATTTATAGAATATTGTATTACACATAATAGATTCATCTTATAAATATTTCAAAACATATTTAGAAATAGTTTTGTTATGAAAAATGCAGAACATTGTTATAATTAAGGGGTTCATCATATAGGATGTATTTGGAGGGTTTTAAAAGTGTTGTTGAAGTGTCCGATATTATGAATTTGATTTTTTAATTAAGACCTGTTGAAGAAATGTCGGACACACTTTTAGGAGTGTCCAAAGAGTGTCGCGTTTGACGTGGGTGTCATGTTGGATATGACACACTTCCTCCATAGAAGTGTCCGTGCTTCTTAACAAAAAATGTTTTACAAAGATTTTTGTGAAAAATGAGTTAAATATGACTTGGATATATTTTTTATTTTTTCTTGTTAGTTATTTTCTTGATAAACTCTCTGATCTAACATGCCCAAAAAACATGTACACAACAAATAAAACATACAAACATGTATAGACCCTTGGCATACATATGTACATTTCAACATTTTTTTATATGCATATACTTATAGACAGACGTAGATTTATATATAGGTTATATCCAAATGCACAACACAGGATTTTTTTGAATGTAATTTCTTATATAGATGTCTCTATATAAACTTATATATTTTGTAGTAGTACCTGTTACGTTACCAATTCTCCCAAAAGCCTAAGCTGTTAGAAAATGGATCCAACAATGTATATTAAGCTGTCTAACACCCTTCCTCACGTGCAATCTCGTAACGTGCAATCCCGTATTGCATGTGGAGAGACAAACAGAGAAGCAACAACCAAACAGGGAAAGAGTACAAAAATGCCAACAAAAGAGATCTTGAACCCAAGACCTCTTTCAACCTTAGCTTTGATACCATGTTAAGTCACCAATTCATCACCCAAAAACCTAAGCTGTTAGAAAATGGGCCCAACAATGTATATCAAGCTATCTAACAGTACCAAGGTCCTGTATTTGCATTGATAGTTATGCTTGTAATCACATATTTTTAAGTTTTTTTTTTATTATTTTAAAGTATTATGAAAAGCTTTAACCAAACACCAGAAAATGAGGTAAAAAAAAGATTTTTGTACATAAAACTTGTTACATACTAAGGACGAACACTTATAAGACGGTGTCGTTTCTGTGTTGGATGTGTTTAAATGTGTCATTATTTGAAGATTTTTTAGAATTGAACACACTTCAGACAGTACGAAAAATCGCATTTCTATAGCTTACACACATAAAATACATTGCAAGATTGAAGAAAGTAACTTGGGAGGCAATGACTAAAATCAAAACTATTGGGATTTGTACCTATTAATTCCTCCCTTATGCATTTAATTTTAGGAACTCTAAAATTTAAAACTTCCATCATGTATAGAGCCTTTTAAAACAGATCTTACTACCTTTTGTTCATACTTCTTTTCCAATGTATAGAATGTGGAAAACATTTCTTGTTATTTTGATATAATAAAGTATAATTGTATCTGTAACTTTTATGTCACCAATAGTGCCAAATATTTTAGTTAGGAAAAGGGCCCAACAATGCATATCAAGTTCTCCAACACCTTCCCTTATGTGTAACCCTGTCTTGCATTCAAAGATTTAAATATTCAAAAATGGAGAGAAACAAATTGTTGTTTTGGCGTATCAGTATCGTGTTATATTCTTCTCTTGTGCCCATATATGTGTTTCTTAGGTACGTAAAAAATGTTTTTCCTATGTAAAACAATTTATGTTGAAACAAATGCATTATTTGGGAACTTGGCTATTTTAGTTGGCTTTTTGGCTATTTTATGAGATGGAAAAAAATTGCGTTTGAGATGATTTGTGGATTTTTTTTGTAGTTGAATAGATGGTTGTGAGAGAAAAAAGTGATTGATTGATGTGTAGGATGTGACATTTTGTCTTATTGGCTATTTCCCCCCCCCCCCTTTTTTTTTTGTCGTCTTTATTGACTACTGTAGCCGAAAAAGGTATTTCCAAACATGGCCTTAGTGTAATATGGCCCTGCCCTTCTTTCTCAATAGAAGAGCAACATTAAGATATCTGACTGATAAGCTTCAGATGCGAATTTGCATAAGCTATATTTCTATAAACTGTGAATTAACTTAATTGTAAATTGTTGTTTGTTGCTTTGATAAAGTTGATTATCTTTAAATGTTCTTCACACAACAGCCCCGCTGTGCTGCCCCCACATCCATGCAACACACACACACACACAAACACAATTAAAAAACAAAAAAAAAAGTTAAATTTATTTTTGTTTCTACTAAACCCATTTGGAATTTTAGAGAATGAAAAATGATCCAGTAACCTTTCACTTGGATCTTTATTTAACTATTACAAATGTTCATAATTATGTTATACGACATTCTATGAAAGCGTAACTTTATGCCCTCTTAACCAGTAAGCAGTACCTTTCTGTTGGTCCTGCAAGGAGATTTGTGATAGATCATAGTTGCATTTTTGTTGACTTTTTTTAAATTTTATTGACACCAATATCGAACTGTAATTTTAGGTTTACTGAATCTATTTCTATTCTTTTCTAAATTTCATTTGAATTAGTTCATTATTGTTCTTGTGTGTTAAGTAGTTTTTTGTGTGAATCGTGGCAATTTTCCCTAAAGTGACATCTTTAAGGGTAGCGAAACTGATGTAATTTGCTTCAAAAGTCAATGTCAGCGGTAATACTTTGATCTATGGTTCTAGAAATTTTTTCCCCATTAATGTCCCCCATTTTTCATGACTTGCTTCACATATATCATAAGAATATTTATAGAAATGTGTTCTTCCCTGATTATAGGTTGGAGCAATCATGTCAGGCATTCAGCCTGGCTTAACGATGGTTGTCGGTCCACCTGGTACGGGAAAGACTGATACGGCTGTGCAAATCCTGAATGTGCTTTACCATAACTGTCCATCTCAGAGAACGTTGATAATTACTCATTCGAATCAGGCTTTGAATGATCTGTTTGAGAAGATAATGCAGGTATAAGTTTTTATTGAAGTGTCATTTTCTTTCTTTCTTTCTTGAAGACGATCAATTTTACTTAGTTGCTATTCACTTCTTAATGCACGTGAAAATTAATTGACAGAGGGATGTTCCTGCTCGCTATCTTCTTCGACTTGGTCAAGGTGAACAAGAATTAGCAACTGATCTTGACTTCAGTCGACAAGGCCGTGTGAATGCAATGCTTGTTCGGCGGTTAGAACTGCTTAGTGAAGTAGAGAGGCTTGCTAGATCTCTCCAATTGCCTGAGGACGTAGGTTACACTTGCGAAACTGCTGGATACTTTTGGTTGCTGCATGTCTACTCACGCTGGGAGCAATTCCTAGCAGCTTGTGCGGAGAATCATGATAAACCAACATTTGTTCAAGACCGTTTTCCTTTTAAGGAGTTCTTCTCCAACACACCTCAGACAGTTTTTACAGGCCAGTCCTTTGAGAAAGACATGCGAGCAGCTGAGGGTTGCTTTCGTCATCTTAAAACTATGTTCCAAGAACTTGAAGAGTGTAGGGCATTTGAATTACTCAAGTCCACAGTTGATCGATCAAATTACCTAATGACCAAACAAGCCAAGATTGTGGCCATGACTTGCACTCATGCAGCTCTTAAAAGAAAGGATTTCCTTCAGTTTGGCTTTAAGTATGACAACCTGTTAATGGAAGAAAGTGCCCAAATCTTGGAGATTGAAACTTTTATACCAATGTTGCTCCAAAGGCAGGAAGATGGCTATGCTCGGCTCAAGCGCTGCATATTGATTGGTGATCATCACCAGCTGCCTCCTGTTGTGAAGAATATGGCTTTTCAAAAGTACAGCCATATGGATCAGAGTCTATTCACAAGGTTTGTTCGTTTGGGAATCCCCTACATTGAGCTCAATGCCCAGGGTAGAGCTAGGCCAAGTATAGCTAGACTTTACAACTGGAGGTACAGAGATCTGGGTGATCTTCCATATGTAAAAGAGGATGCTATTTTCCATAGAGCAAATGCTGGATTCTGTTATGAATATCAGTTAGTGGATGTTCCTGAATACCGTGGCAGAGGTGAGACTGCCCCTTCTCCGTGGTTCTACCAAAACGTGGGGGAGGCTGAGTACATTGTCAGTGTATATATGTTCATGCGTTTACTAGGGTACCCTGCAAATAAGATATCCATCTTGACAACATACAACGGGCAGAAACTTCTGATCCGTGATGTTATTGCCAGACGATGTCTTCCATTTGACTTCATTGGTCCACCAAGCAAAGTAAGTTATATTAGGACAATTGTCTTGTTATTCCCTGAAATTTACTGAATTCCCATGGGAATAGGCGATGAATGTTGAAAGTGTAGAGAATTTTCAATCATGAAGTTCTGCACACCTCTTCCCAAAATAAAGTTCTCACAACATATATATTGTGTAGAGTAGGACAAATTACACTTTCTCCTTGTGGTTAGGCCTAAATGAAGGTAGTCTGAATTTATATTGCGACACTAATATCACCATATTGTGGCATCTAAAATTAAAATATATATATGATTGCATTGAATTGATGTTTTTTTATTACTTTTTTTAGGTTACCACAGTTGACAAGTTCCAAGGTCAGCAGAATGACATTATTTTATTGTCTCTTGTGCGTACTCGCTTTGTGGGCCACCTTCGTGATGTTAGAAGATTGGTTGTTGCCATGTCTCGTGCTCGACTTGGGCTTTATGTTTTTTGTTGCCGTTCTCTGTTTGAACAATGTTATGAACTTCAGCCCACTTTTCAACTTCTGCTCCAGAGACCTGATCGCCTTGCCCTAAATATGAATGAGACTGCACCATTTACTGACCGTCACGTTGAAGATACTGGACCCATCCATTATGTCAGCGGCGTTGAAGAGATGGAGAACATTGTCAATTATAAAATCTATCAGGTATTCTTCTTCATACTGCTAAATTTATGAAGTTTGATTTTTATCATTTCCATTTTCTAGCCGTAAGTGGTAGGTTGATGCCTGAATGAGGAACTAAGAGATTTACAATCATTTCTTGTAGTTTGTCTCTGTTCAGTATTTAGCCGTGGATGAAAGACGTGCTTCCTCTTTGTGAGTCTCGGTAGGATGCCTTTAGCATTTTGTAGTCACCAGAAAAGCCAGAATTAGGAATAAGTATATTCGTGAATGGGTAGGAGTAGCACCAATAGAAGATAAGTTTAGAGAGAATAGATTGAGATGGTTTGATCATATACAACGGAGACCAACAAAGGCAGTAATGAAGAGATGTGATACAGTGACGGTAGATGGAAGTGTTAGGAGAAGGGGTAAATCTAAATTGACGTGGGCAGATGTAGTAAATAGAGATATGAATCTCCTTAGTTTGACTAACCAAATGCCCGTTGATAGAGTTAAGTGGAGAAGAAGGATTCATGTAGCCGACCCCATTTGATGGGACTTAAGGTTTGATTTGGTTTGGTTTAGATTTAGGTCCTGCTTTTTGTTGAGGCTCTAACCACACATATGGGCTAATTAACCAAATAGTTAGGCTAATTTGCTTAACTGTGGTGTTTGTACTTGTATGGTTATTTTGTTACACATTACATGGCATCCATGGACTTGTTATGAATCAACTCACCAATCTCACCTTTTATTTCAAGCACTTTGCTTGTTGACTCTGTTCTGTATGTACTTGGACTATGACAAGAACTTCATACTGTCACTCTCTCCCAAATTCCAAAGCACTGAAAAAAGAGAAAATGCTGCTAGTAGCCTCATGTTATTTATTTATCAAATAATGTTTCATTGGTCATGCTATTCATTTTTATGATCTCAGTTGTGCCTTCTTTGTTGAGCCTTTCTGGACTGTGCTATGATATCACAAATGCTTTAATATAGTTTTGGAAGCTAGCCATTGGTATCTTACTCTTTTTTGCTTTAAGCATGTCTATCATTGGGGATGGCTCCATTGGTGTAGAAAATAAGTTGTAGATTTTGGCTTAGGAGATGGATGGTGGCTTTGAGCATAAGCTATTAACCTATTTGGTGTGGTGGTAGGATTGTGGATTTAAGCAGCAGAGCAAGTGTTTCTTAGAATAAGCTATAATATGGCTTGCTTAGCTAAAAGCAAATTCTCAATTCATGTGTCCTGTATTTGACTCTCTTTTTAGGGAAAACATCAACACACCCTTACAATTTTTTATTTAATTAAAAAAAATCTACAAATTTGTTTGTCTATCCTTTAAACTCTTTAGTTTAATTATCAAAAAATAACCAAACAAAACCAAACTAAATCTTGTATCCCTATTAACTGGGGTTGGCTCTAAGTCACCAATACGCGGAGCATGAGTGAGAGCGAGAGGGCAGAAGCGTTATTCCTAAAAATGATGCAATAGTGGGAGCGCCTCCAAAGCGTGTAAATATTTTAATATATATATTTGAAAACTTTTTATGGTCTAATACATTTGAAAAAATAATAATCAGAATGTTAGTGCCCATGTGTATTGTAAAATAATAAAAATACATAAGTATGACACAAACAACATGAGTAGATTGATGGGGTTTCTCTTGGATTTGATGGCCATCATTCTCCTTTGGTTGGAGAAGAAACGTCCTTGAGTTAAAATGTTGTTAATGTAGTAATATCAAACAATGTGCATTTCCATTAGAGGACATTAAGTGTGGAACGGTTAATGCTTTATCTTTCTTGGATGTCTTGTTTAATTTGTCTAGGATTACAAAAATGTTTCTTGTGGTTGCTTTTGTGGGATATCCATGGATTAAACAATAACTTGAACAGTAGTGCCGTTTTCATTGTTTTTTATTTTTATTTATGTTTTTATCCCTTTTATTATTATTATTATTTATTTTTTTTTTGAATATTCTATGTCAAAAATTGGAACTGGCAGCATGAACATGACTTTGATATTTTACTTTTGCTCGCTTATTCTTTAACACTATTCTTCAACTAAGTTGTCAATTTGCTGTGTTAGATGGTAATCAAAATGGTTCCATGATTCTGTCAATCAAGGCTTGTAGAATATCTACGTCTTAAATATTGTTCTGGAACCCAAAGCTCTGGTTCCAAATCAATGCGTGACCAGTACTTGAGATTTACTAAAACAAACTGTGTAAGTAGATAGAATGACAAAATGATGAACTTTTAATTTCATCTTGTCATGAGTGTAAGCACCTATTTATTGAGATCATATTGATCACAATGGATTTACTGACTTTTGATTGCCACCTTTATCGGCTGCATTACTCTTTCTCTCTCACACAGACACCAAAAAACAAAAAGGCACTTTTAATGATCGAGTACTTGCTTTATGTGTTTCGTAGCCTTCAGAAGCTTCACGTTGTTAACTTCTCTGTTCACAAACCAAAATTCATACTGACATATGAAACACCCTTTTCTGAGCACATACTTAAGCAGAGGGCATGAGCTAATTATGTCTTCAATTTTGGAGTCTCAAACCCAAGTCTGGTCTGGTTCTGTTTTGTTGTCCAGGCCAATAGTGGCCTCATGCCCCTCTCTCTCTCTCTCTCTCTCTCTCTCGCACACGCGAGTGCGAGCACACACACAAACTAGTGTGCGCCACTCAGACAAACATATTCTGAAATAATTTGGAGGTCAGACTAACAAACCTTTTCCTCATGTCAGGCACAAATGATGAGCCATCAGTTCTCTGCATACTCGAGACAAGTGGGTGATTCAGAGCAAGATGGCCTGCAGAATTTGGCATCCTCACACACTTTCATGGATTCTGGTACACCTGCTTTGGAAAATAGTGCACACAAGGATATGCCATCTGAGGACAAGTCAGATGAAATTACACAGATGGAAACAATTGCTAATCAAAATGGAGATATTCCACTCACAAGCCATTCAAATGGGGAGGCTGATATGGAAGTTGCTACTAATGACAAAAATGCTATGGAACTTGAAAGCAGTTCTAATGAAGAGAGCAAAATTGAAGAGTAATCTGATAAAGGAGAGCGAGCTCACAATTAGAGATTTCTCTTGTGCAGGAGACCTGAAATAAGTACAGGTACCGACACATCTGTAATGACTACAGTAGCCTCTATTGGATGCTTGGTCCAAATGATCACAGCTTCTATGATTGTTGAATATGCTATGTCCAAATGACTACAGTAGCCTCTACTGACCATTGCTTTTTGTGTATCTGCATCAATGATATAAGGTTCTGAATCAAAAAGCAGGGGAAAACATGTATCTTAGGACCCAAAGCCTATAAACCAACACTCCAGCCCTCAAATGTGATCATGCCATTCAAAGTTGTAGAATCAAAATTGAGATTATTATCTGAGACTGCATTCTGCCTCTCTGCTGTGCAAAAATATTTTAATGATTTTTGCAGTCACTATTCTTGGGAAACTATTAACTGGGTTAGGCAGTGGCAAGGTAAAAATTGTGACAGCATTAGTTTTTTTTATGTTAGGATGATGGTGCACAAACAAAAATTCTGTACAGAATCCCTTCGTTCTCCTTTCATTTTCAACTAAAACACCCATTATGACTTATAAGTTTGACGTTGTCACTGCTACTGATTCTGATTGAGTGTTTTGTTTGAATCTCATGTTTTTAAATCATTTTCCTTTACTATGAAAATTTGGAAATGTGTTTTCTGTCTGGTCAGTGTATTCAATTAGTTCTGGGAATCATGTTTTGTAGACAAACAAGCTAAAAAATGGCTATAAATTATCACATCTCTCTACTTTTTCTCTTTTTCTTTATTTTTTATTTTTTGTAAAAACGAAAAAGTTAACTAAAATAATTAATTCCTAAATGGGGTCTCGTCAGTGCTTGGGAAAGTAATTAAGTGGGTACTGGGTCTTAATCTGTTCTGATGACAGAATGAAAGTTGTTAAGTATGGAAGTTCCATTTTGATGTGGGTTTGCTATCAAATTGCAGTATCTGACGCATCAATGATTGACAGTAGGTGGTCTGTTAATGACGATGATGCCTCCTTGCCAGTATGATAAATCTAATCACAAGTGCATTAACGTGGTTTATCCTCATCCGCCACAGCCATTGCTCGCTGCAGTTCATGAGCTTATCGAGGGGCAGAATGAATTTTTGTGGCCTTCTTCGATCTTCATCCTATTTTTATATTATTTATTAGATTGTAAATGCAATTGACATTTTTTTATTTATTAAAACCTAGCTTTTATAAAAGTTCATCTAGTTGTGTAAATGAAATTGCCATTTTTTGTATAAATAATATTGCACGCGTTGCACCTGAATCAGTTTTGAAGGGTGAAAAATCAGGCCAAATAAGGCTCGAAAAATATCATCAATGAGCATATCTCCAATTAAAGATGTAAAATCATAAAGCATCTTCACCCGTTAGCCATTTGGGCTGTTATTGCTAAAATTTAGAAATAGTTGTACTTCTATGCTCTCCCTTTCATCATTTTTCTCATCCAAATCAACCACCACAAACTACACACAAAATTTATCAAATATTTATGAGGTATATCCACAAACCCAAATTTAGGAATTGAAAAAGAAAAAAATCACAAACCTAGATTTCCACATACAATGTGGGATTTTGGTGATTTGATCTGTCTAATCAATTTTTCCACCAATCACTCACCAGAAAATTACCACAATCACCAGATGAGGTCTTGCAAATAAAATAAAAATACAAAGCCACCAAAAAGGAAATATAAATTGAAAAAGACTCGGATCAAATATAACTTTAAATCAACTCCATGACCCACCGAACACAAGTTTTTAGCCAATAGTTCTCTCTCAACCAAAAAACACCATCATCCAACTCCCTACTCCACATCATCACCACCAGCATCTCAAAACCACCATCAAACATCTACCACCATAGCCCCCTTAAATCAATACCATCAAACGAACATCTCTCTTTCTCAAATTTGATTTCGTCTAGTAAAATTGTGTCAACAATAACTCAATAATATAGTAATGTACATATGTTGAGAAAATTGTCTTCCAATTCTTTGAACAACCTACATGACAAAAGAAAGTTCATTGACAAGCCTCATTGTAAAATTTGTGCAATTTATCAGGAAGTACTTCAACTTGTGCCTCAGTGTTCTTATTGATATAGGAACTCCATTTCGTATTTCAAAATCTTTACAGATCCATGCATTTGTGCACCTTTGGCATGACCTTCACAAGCCTATTAATTGAAGAAATAATTATGTTAATCTCAAGAGATGTAGCATACTGAATAATGATTAAATAATTCATTTAGTAGGATTGCACTAACCTTGGCAGTGAGTGGTTAATTTCTTTTTTCCATCATTTGATTCAAGGGTTTTGAGCTGACTAATATATCACATGCAACTACTTCTTTTTCTTGTTGAATTTAACACCGCAAATTTCATTTGTAGGCTCTTTGGTCAACCATTCTTGCAGATTGTCTAACTTCGCCTAGAAAACCTTCTCAATCACATATTTTGTATATTTTTTTGATTCGCCCTCTTTTTGCTCATGGTCGGCTTCTTCTTGGTTGACATCACAGCTCATTGTGATAAGAGTATTTGGTTGAGCACGAATATGATCCAATGGCAAGTCCTTGAGAAATTTGAAGCACATTGTCTGTAGATCATGCGAGTTCATTTCCTGTAACGAAATAAGAGTGGCATATTAAAACCAATGATATTACAAGTATAATACCCCACAAACAAACTCACTCAATTCAAAGGAATAATAGCAAAATATTTTGATCTATTAACTATAAAAAAACAAGGTTAGTTCCTAAGTTTCATTCACAATTAATGGAAATCCATACCCAAAGAATTGCTACAAAAACAATCAGTTGATCCCAAGGAATATATCATTTCTTTTTTTTTTTTTTTTTTTTTTTTTGATCAGCAAGAAAATGAACTTTCATTACAAAGAGGAAAAATAAAGAGGTTCACAAAAGAGGACCAGGAGTCCTCAAAACACAAAAACAGAAAACAAAAACACCTAAGAGTCGCACACTGGTTTCCAATCACTAGAGATCAAGAAAAGCGGAATCCCTTTAAACGGAGGAGCCACTGAAGCCAAAAGATGCCAACAACCTAACTTTAAATTAACAGTTATATTCTGCCTGCACCTCACATCAAAAAGGAATTGAATGCTGCTTATAAATTAGGATGCAAGCATTACAACATGGATCAAGTAAATGACAGTGCAACAGAAATGGACAACAATGGTAAGTATGAGAAAGACCTATAGAAATAGATGACAATGAAAAGTAAGAGAGTATTTATCAACAAAAAAAAAAAAAAGAAAAAAAAAAAAAAGTAATAGAGACCTATCTCATAATTCATAGAAGACATCACATTTTTCTGACATCCACTTCTTTGGTAGATGCCTGGGAATCATATAAGACACCATTCATATTTTATTTCCATGGGACTTATGCCATGCAGCTCCATCATGCAGAATAAAATTATTAGAAGACAAAAAAAGACATCACAAAAATACCAGCTGACAACTAAATTGATAACAATAATGGCATTCATAAGATGAACGAAAGCAGATAAATTTGGTTTAAATCAATAACGAAACAGATTGATCAACTTTTTGGGATTAAACTACAGAGTTTTCCATGTATAGCTTGGAGACTGATTCCCTACCACGTATAACAATATTCACAAGCATTTTAGCATTTTCATATCTTTTTCCAAATTATGATGAAAAACATCGAAAACATAAAATGGAAAAAAATACAGGACCATTTATAAGCAGATAACTCTTTGTGGTCAAAGCAAAAGATGGCTTACTTTCTGCAGCATCACCAGATCTGCAAGCCATATACTCAAGAGCCTTCAATAAAAGGCCATTTGCAACATACAATTATTTAAATACACATGATAAAAACTGTGATTCTACATTTTATGCACTAGAAATGAGGTGCTTTTATAAACAATATTAATAAAAATATAACTTCTTTACTTCTCTGGGAGAGGAATATGGTCAGAAGAAAGATTAATACTGACTAGACAAATAGTTAAAAGCATTCACTATGATCAAAATTTACAATCTATCAACAAATTCTAATTATTACCTTTCCGCAAAGCCTTGCTTGGGAATTCAAATTTAAGCCGAGAAAAATAAATCCCTCATGCCAAGTTCACTGCAGGTAACAAAGAGAGCAAGTAAGCTATATGTCAAACACAAAACTAAGGCACCTAAACTAAGTTGGACTTCAGTTTTTTCCCTTTTCATTTTCTTTTCTATTTTCAGAATGAGAACTCTATAATATCTGACAGAAAGGTTTGCCACCAGAATCAATCTGCATTCCACAACTTCTTTTTCTTGGGAGAGAAGCAATAACCTAGGAAATAGCTGAAAGCATCTACTAGCATGAATATAACATAAAGTACCTCTGCATGCAAAGAATTGGAGTTTCATGAAGACAGCTTGAACTTTCGAAAGCACAATGATAAGATCTGATTCTTTTTCAAGTCTGAATCTTGGCTGGTGAAATAATATTCTCAATATAACTTCATAACCTCACAGACTGGCTTGGACATGGAAGCAGAAAACATTCATCCCAAACACAACATCTCGTCTTCAATGACCCATCAATGGAGTCGTGAAAAAAGCAGCAGATTGTCCACTATTTGAGAATTTGTATCAGGAGGTAAAGGTTGGAGCAGTCCACTATTAGACAAGTCCTCCAAACCTTTGATGTCTTGTTGAAAGCGTGTTGCATGTAAAATGGCGTGATCAAGAACCAGAGGATCATCTGGGGTGTTTTGCAGAAGGTTAAGCAAGGATTGCCGATAAACTTGAGCTGCTAACAATGGCCTAGCAACTTGCCGACTTTTACATAGTATTGCTACCTTAACAATGTGCTTACAAAGGTTCCCCATCCTTGACCAGGGGCAATCACAGAGCGAGAATTCTGAACCAGGATTCCAAATTGTATATGCCACAGTCCGGTCAGTTTGAGAAATGACTTTTGCAAGCTGGAGATTTTCTTCATCTAACAACACATCAACATCTGGGATGTGCATGGCCTCATACCAAGAGTTGGTTGAGAAGGACCCATCCCTCAGATTTTCAAAGTATCCTGTCTCTACTATGTACTGATCAAGCCAATACAAGGAGTGAAATTCAGTTGTCAATGTGTGGATCAACCAGTCAACTCTCAGCCAGAAACTAGCATGCAGCTTGTTGAAAACTTTTGATTTCAATCTTAGGTGATATGCCTCGATTGCAGAATAAGGTTCTTGACTTGCCACAGGGAGGGTTCTTATGCTATTCACCCACAGTTCTGAGAGGCAAGCTAACATGTTAATATTTATTGTCTGGGATAATATTAATACAACTATCAATGTTAAGAGGCTGTTTGGTGGAGGATCTTGGTGATTATATAACATATAAAATAGTATTTGCAATCTTTGATTTTTATGGATACTGTACTACTTTCTAATTTTAAAAATAAATGAATACTATGCTACTTAAAAATAACATCAAGCATGTGATTTAATGAGAACAACAGAAATTAAACAGGAAAGACTAACTAGGATGGTTTCTGTATGACAGTGCAGAGGTCAGTCTGACCAGCGCAAGAGGTAAAATTTGTTAATCAGAGAACAAGAAGTCATATTGAATGGACAAATACCTATCTTTGGTAACCACTGATTTCTAAAATAATCCATAAAGGCGCATTGATCAACAAATATTTGCATAAACTCTTCAACTGCATCTAAAGTGTTTGGCGTGTTTCTTGTGCAATACAAAATCCGGCCTAAGTGCTTAAACATCTCTCGCTGCACGTCAAAGTTGCAGCATTTCTTTAAAAGGCATTTTAACCAGGCACGGCGGATATGCCATAGGCATACTAGGACTCGGCATTGGAAGGCCTCTCTGCAAATGAGAAGCATGATATCAGAATTTGTCATTTCCCTCTGAAACCAATATTGTGTAAAAAACACAATCAAAATTTGATGATGAATAGTTTACCTAATAATAGATGTCTCAAAAGAAGGATCATCCACTAAGAAGGCATTAGGTCTAAATCTGGGGTCCTTGGTTCGGATCCTCTCAACAAGGGATACCATCCATTTATGGATATCTTGACCAACATCACAAGAAGTGATGACCCATGCAACTGGAATTGCATTCCGCGATGAGTCAAATACAAGTAATGAACACAGAGGATACTGTGAAAGGGAAGAGAAAAAATGCAAAATCAGAACTACCAATTACTAAATCACTATAAATGAACCATAAGCATGAATTGCAGAAGCAGACTAGTTGTAAATGCATAACAACATATGAAACATATTCTTCCTCATCCCCAAACCAATAGTGAAGATGAATTTAAATTGTGAAATCTCCACAATTTTTATAAAGGTACATGTTCCTGATTCTTTCCCTTGAATGATAAGGCAGTTTTGCATTTTCACCCCTTTTGTAACATACATTTCCTGACTTCATTTTTGGATAGCTTGATTTAATTGTTGGACTCCTTTCCTAACAGCTTAAACTTTTAGGATAATTGGTGATGTGACATGTTATCAGAACTTTGGTTATGGGAGGTCTTGTCTTCATGTCCCTCCGTTTGCATTTGTTCCTCGTTTGAATTCTACTCCTCTCTATGTATGTTTGTTTGCATCTCCACATTGTTGAACCCCTTTCCTAACAGCTAAAGCTTTTGAGACAATTGGTGATCTACACTCATAGCCACTGACGTGTGCAATTAATTCTTTTGTGAACTGCCCAGTGTTGGCCCTTTTTTTAGCCATTACTGTTTCCTTGACAATCTTTTATTAATTATTACTATATTTCAAACTAGTTATACGCCAGACACAGACTAAAATTCCAAAAGACTATGACCTTTTTTTTTTTACATGGCTTGGACATGAGGTGAGGAAGAATGAAGCATAAGCATGGCAATGCATATAAACATAAAAAGTAGAAGACAGAAGTCCAAAACCTTAAATTTCTTCAAGCCAAACGCTGAATGAGAAGCTACTGAACCATTATGTCCATAACGGAGCATCTGCTGCAGCTGCCAATCAGTTTGTATCCCTAAAATAAATGGTTCCGAACCATAGTTATCTTGGAAGAAGAACACATGTTTCTGGTGGCGTTGTACCCACATTTTTACACTGCGTTCATCATTCCCATGTAACTCATGAGAGGAGTTACGAATAAGTCTTTCCATGTTACGGACATCATTGCGAGTAAGGAAATCGTCACGGTTGTGGGGCCCTCCATGCCTCTGCACCTCTTCCATGTGATGTTGCATTACGTTGTCCAGAGATATACCAACATAAAGCATAGACATAACTTTCTGGCGTAATTCCTCAGAAATTCGAGGAGCATACATAGCTCTTGTTCCCATGGCATCATGATCCAGTATCCCATGGCATGGAGCCCCTGTTTTATCTACATGGTTTCGCTGGTTGTAGATGATCAGGGCTAATAGGGGGCGAGTGTATAGGCGTTTAACAGTAAAATGGCAAAGGCACCCTCTCATCATGTGACGTCTCCCTGGCCTGCTTCCCTTGCCCGAGGCAGGTTTAATGTTTGCACTATCCCCAATACCAGACTCACTGTCCCTGTAGTCTTCTGGACCATAGGAACACCAATATCTAGAAAATCCCAAGAAAAGATAGAATATAATATGCAAGTGTCCTAGGATAATGTTGTTTTGTTAAAGATATAATAAAGACAAATGAGCTTAGTTATGATTTAGAAATCAGGAATGAAATCATCTTTCACACAACCTTTGACTTTTAACAACACAAAAAGAGTTTCTTTGATGCATAATGAATATGAAAGAGATTAGATGTACCATTCAGACACTGCCTAATAAATATGACATGCAGCTTACAAGGTTGAACATACAGCGTATATTCAAGATAACCATCAACCCTTGGTTTGCTGACACTCCCTTCAGGTCTTTTCCTTCTTGACTCAACCCGGAAGCTTGCAGGGCATTCTGCATTACCAGATTCTCCTTTCACAAAATTATCCACTCTAGCATAAGGGATTAAAGCAATATCGTCACCACCTTGCCGACCACCTTCTACTTTTACCCAATTTAGATGAGCTGCAGAAAACTCTGTAAAAGGAGGATCCTGCACTGGCAGGTTTAGAATGTCCTCCATTCTTGGCATCTGTTGCAAAAACAAAAGCATAAGCTTGTGAAATGCACAGGAATGCCAGAAACAATGAGAAAAATGGCAATTCTAATTTTAATCAAATTATGTAAAGACAATATAATTGCATCATTTTCCCACTCACTAGATCAGTTTGCAGGATCGATGAAAAAGAACAAAAGGAAACTGCAAATTCATAATGCATCAATTAAACAAAGTGTAAAAAGAGAGTTTTAGTATAAAAAGAAAAACTTCATTGAGATTATGAGGCTTTGTTTTTTTTGGGTGTCTTGCATAACTCACTTTTTTTTCTTATGTTTTTCAATCTCTAGCTTGGTTGTTATAGCAGGGAGCTAGGGCAGTACAAGGTAGGAAATATAAATAAATAGGAATCCCATAAAACTTGCAATCACTGAAGAATATACGAACTCATCTCTCTTGATCCCAAAAATCACATATGTATAAGATAACTAAAGTCCACACTGCTAAAGCAAAAATTCACATGGAGCAATTGCGCAAGCGGTATGAGCAGATAGGACAAAAAATATATCAACAGAAGTTTGTTTAAGAAGACAATAAACATTTTCTTTAGTGAAAAGTGCCTACAGATTCTGTGATGACCCATCCTTTCCAAATGCAATCATGACATTAAAAACCATGCCGCTGTCTCCCATAGCTAATAACAGAAGTAACAGAAGATACGGATTAGCTAATCAGCTGGACGTTTCATTGTTATATTTCATCATTACACTTTGAGGATATATACTTCAGAATTTTTTTATTTTTTTATTTTTTAAACCAGGAAGGTTCAAGAAATTTGGATAACTTCATCGTACAATGTGTAATTGAAGTTGTAAAACTCAACACCCAACTGATGCAGGACAACTAGGGACAGCAGCAAATCTAGGCTTTTGGGTCTGATTTTAATTGGATTTTATGGCTGCAATTGCAATAACAATATAGGGGACAAGTAGTGTTTGTTTAGGGTAATAAATAGGTAAGAGTTTAAGCATGAAAGATGGAATTTTAGCACTGTTTAGGGGCTGTTACGAGGTTGTCAGTAACTCGTGAATAGTAAACTAAAACAAAAAAGAAGAAGATAGGTCTAAGAATCACTCCTAGAATTCCTTAGGCATCACACCTAGGATTTGATTGCATCACACAACACATAAAGAAGCTTCAAAACTCTCAACTTTTTATAAAATATCAACTTTATTGAATTAATAGCATTACATAACTTTATATAGAACTAAGGCCTTGTTTGGGAACATTCTTTTTTAATAACTTTTTAACTTTTTGGCTAAAATATAACGTAAAAAAAACTAGTATGTTTGGGATGACTTTTTGATTTTTTACGAAACGATGTGCATAAAATAGAGAGAAAAGGAAATCTTTGACTTTTTGGTATAAGTTGTTGGCTTTTTGATTTTTTTTAGTGACTTTTTGACTTTTAGGTTAAAAAGTAATGTTGCCAAATGAGGCCTAAGAGACTTCCTAAATCAACTAGAACCAAAAAAGAAAACTACTATAATATTTTAGATTTTCAAAAATAATTTAAGACTAAATAAGAAACATAAATAAAGATTAATTAAATAACTTGATCCACAAGACGACCCATGGGCGACCCATAAACCCTATGTCAGTAAATATAAAATTACCAAAATACTCTTAACCTTAAAAATTTTAGAAACCATAAAATAACAATAAAATAAGACTCTAATAATACTAGAAACATAATTATAGAAGAGTTCTATCAGTTTCTCTATGAAATCATGTCAATGTCCAAGTATCATCACTTCTCTGAATTTAGCCTTCCTTAATCTTCTTATAGTAAGGAGACTAATCAAACATACAGTTCCCTTAGGGTACATATCTCCCCTCAAATCGAAATCAGAAAGAGTGAGTGCTTTTTCCCAACCATTCTTGAATGGCCCTTGGAATATTATTAAGTCACTCAATTCAACTTTTTGCTATATCATCCACTTGGAGAGCTCTTATTAGATTAAAATCACAAGAATAGGAATTTATGTAGGTTTGGTTGGTCATAGATATACTCAGAAGTTATTTGCATATGTACATACTTTCATGAACAAATATTGTGGGCCCTTGTGTGCTTTAAAAAGTGGGCACAACAAGATGAACTTTTATGGGTTAAGAAGTGTTTTAAATAGACAATATGCAATATCTTCTCCTCTTTTTTTTTTTTTTTTTTTTTTTTTTTTTTTTTTTTTTTTTGCCATGAACTTATTGAACTACAAATAAAATTTTGACTACTGAAAATTTAAGGAAAAATTAAACTTGTTTAGTGTGTTAATAAATTTTGTCTCTTTGACGAAGCTTCAATAGTAAGGAGACTAATCAAATATGTAGTTCCCTAAGGAAATGTATCTCACCTCGAATAAAAATCTGAAAGAGTGATTCTTTCTTTTTTTCTTTTTTCTAACCATTGTTGAACAGGCTTTGGAATCTTATTAAGCAACCCAGTTCAAATTCTTGATATATCAGCTTTCTGATCTTGGGGAGCTTCTAAATGCACCTCAAAAACATCCACGCTAAATTTTCTCTCTGCACTCACCCCAGCCACCACTTTCTCCACCTTCGACAGCCACCACCACCTTCTACCACCATTCTAACCCCTCCCATCCCTCCCCACCATCCACCAACCCTTCCCCTTTCCACCCTGCCACCCCTCAGCCCTCCCGACCCCACTCTTGTGACCCACATCCCCCTCTTTAATTCCCATGTCAGCCCCTCTCACTCCCTCACCTTCTTTCTCTCTTACTAAATTTTGAAAACCTAGCCCTAGATTTTGAACCCGTGGAAGAAAGAAACCCTAACCCACGCAGCACCACCACATCCTAGCCCACCCACAAAGTTAGATCTTTCGATGGTGTATCTCCGAACAAACACCATCAGTTTGGTATGAGTAAACCGAACAGTGACCATTTTTTCAAGTTCAGTCGTCAATGTCTGAACATTAGCCATCGATTCGGCGCAAGGAAACTGCACTCCAAATATTTATCTGGTGCTAGTAGTCTAAACGGCTGACAAGGGAAGGAACTTTGCAGTGGCGGTCAGAGTTTGGAAGTTTTGGGGGGTCGGAGTGGGTAGTAGCGGACATGTCATGTGGGAAGGAGTTGCTTGGAAAGTTGAAAAAGGGTGGCGACCATGAGAAACAGAAGGGGAGGGGCTAGGTGGTGAAAGGGGAGGAAAGTGAGGAGTTGGGGTGGTAATTGGAGGTGGTGGCAATGGCTACATGAGACGAAGGACGAGGTGGTGGTTGCGGTGGGTGTGGGCTAAGGGTTTGAGTGGTTACGAATGGGACAAGGTTGGAATTAATTGGGGCGTTAAAAAAAATAGTACAAAATTCAAATTTGGGAATGAAGTGTTCAAATAAATGGGGATACATGTGTATAGATAAAAAGAAGAATTAAATTCATTAAATGAGTGCCCAAAGATGTTTTTGGAGTGCATTTAGAAGCCCCTCTGATCTTGGCATGGGTGGGAGGGTGGGGGTGTGTGTGCATAGATAAAGAGAGAAGAATTAAATCTATACCTGGTTAAGCTAAAGCAAGTTAGTTATATAAATTCATTAAAACTGTGGAATTAACACACAATAAAGCTGAGAATAATGTATAAGATAGCCCAAAATCACAACATTAATATAACCCAGGATAGAGTGAAAATTTGCAAGGCACAACCTTATATAGCATATGATATTAAACAAAAAAAAAAGGCATATATGCACAAAAATATACCTTTGCTTCATGACCCTTCATGCTTCCTCTTAGCCTTCCTCCAAAACAAAAATACACCCTGAGCCCTGCATATACAAGCACAAACACACATTTGTAAAGCACAATTCATGAAGCAAATAATGCTGAAATTAGAACAGGTGGTAGCTACAAAGCTAAGAGGACAATAGTGAATAAACATAGAAAGAAAAACAACAAGATTACCAAAACAGGGAAGAGAAGTATAGAATCGAAAGTGCAAGAAACGATATGGGTAAAGAAAAGAAAAGAAAAGAAAAAAAAGTAAGAAAAAAAGAGAAAACGAAAGGAAATCTAATTCGTACACAAAGGAAAAAAAATCAAATTTGGTAAATTACCTCTCTGATGCTGAGTTTTCCTCAGATTATTTTAACATATAGCTCTTTTCTCTACCTTGTCTGTTCACTATTTGGGCAAAGGACTAAAAAGTTCCAAATCATTCACACTTATATACATATATATATATATATATATAGATTCAAGGTGGTCCGACTTTAATATTCTACAAGGAAAAATCTGATGCGAACTGTTTCTATAACAGGAAGAAAGAATATTTGGGAAAATAACAAATCAGTGGCATTTAAGGCAACATATTACAAATAGGATGTAAAAAATTTTAATTTCAGTAATGGTTGAAAGAACAAAAAATTACAAAAGGGTGGAAACCACCCCTTGAATTTTCTATAATGGCCTCTTCCTCAATTTTCTCTGCAACTCTAGCAATTTGCCTCTAAAGCCAACCACCACTCCTTCACCACCTTCAACCCCTTACCCCTTCCTCCTCCCAGCCCGTCCCCACCCTACCCAACAACCTAGTCTTATCAAAACCCTAGCCACTAGAACTAACCAAACCCCCCTACCCAACAACCTAGCCTTATCAAAACCCTAGCCACTAGAACTAACCAAACCCCTGAAGTCCCATCCTCATTGTGATCCTGCACGCCCTCTCCATTATTGCTACATAATAGGCTTGATACAAGTCTTCTTTCTTGGTGCTCAATACAAGTGCAATATGTGCACGGGTGCAAGTGACAAGCTTGCATTTGCACCGGGCACAATAAAAACTTGCACCTATGTACATGTTGCACCTAGCACAAATGACACTTGCACCAAGAATGTTTTGTAGCAGGGAAAAGGCGTGTAGGGTCGCAACAGATAGGGGTTAGAGAGGATTGGGCAATGTTTTAAAAAGCTCTAGGCATATTGAGGCGCTAAGCGAGGTGTGCACCTCACCAAAGCAAGGCGTAAGTTATAGAAAATAAGCAAAATTTTAATATAGGCAAAGTTTTCAACATAAGCAAATATTTCTAGAATTTCAAAAAATATAGAATAACATTCAATATTCAAAAATCATAAAAATAACATTCCATATTTTGAAAATTTTTCAAGAATGACATTCAAATTTACTTTACACAATACTATATTAGTATCTATCTTCTTTCATCAATTTATTGACATGACTCACTTCTTTTTTGAAATAAGGAACTCGCATCATATAGTAACTTAGTTATTTTGATTTCAAATTGAGATCAAATTGCCCGCTAGCTTCAATCATTGGCACAAAACTATCATAATTCACTACATTGAAAGAAATCTCAAAGTCATATATCCATATAGCAATCCCAGAGTTTTTTCTCAATACCTAAAACTTTTTTTATATGAAAATTGAGACTCAAAGTATGTGTTTACATTTTATATTAAAGGGGTTTTTATTCACTGTGGCTACTCACACAAAGAATAAGGATGGAACAAAAATTCAAATGAAGTGCATGTGGCATGTGCCTCACACCTGAGCCTAAGGCATGCGCCTTAGATGTGTTTTTCCTACAGTGCCTCACCTCAAGCTGTTTGAGGCACCCCAGGTGCGCCTTGTGTGCGCTTAGGCGTGCTTTTTATAACACTGGGTTTGGGTAGTTCTGATGACTAGTGTTTGGTCAACTAGACTGTCGGCTTGAGTGGAGCGGGGTGGGTTAGGGAAGACAAGGATAGCGGGGGGAAAGGTGGGGAAGGGGTTGGGGTTGGCGAAGAAAAGCGAGGGAGCGGCTAAGGTGATGCGCAAGTGGTGGTCGATGGCAGAGGCTGGTTACTTGAGTTACAAAGAAGAGGGCATTTTGGTAAATTCAAGTGGTGGTTTCCACTCTTTTGTAATATTTTTATTGATATTTTGTTCTTTCAACAATTATTGAATTACGCTAAATGCTACTAATTTGTTATTTTCCCATAATATTTTAATTCAAATCCAAATTTGCTAGAAATCAACTCTCACTAATGATCGACTCTTCCCCTTCCCTATCTCTTCTCTCCCCTTTTCTCTTGCATCACTCTTCCATTTTTTCAATTTCTTCTCCCTCCTTGGCCCCACATAACTCCTACCTTTTCTCTTTTTCGTCCCGAATTTGTCCTATCATATTTGTTACTTGGTGGTAATTAGCACTCAGCAATACACAATTACAAATACTCCCAAGTTTTATCAAAAATACAAATTCTTATCTTTGGTTTGAAAAATTACAAATACAGTAATACACCTTTCAATGTTTGTCTTCTAATAGAGTGAACAGAAAAAATAAAATAAAATAACATAATTACCCTCCAGTACGAAACCAAAATTACCTAACTACCTTATTCTCCTTTCCCTCCCACCCAAACCATTCTCCACCGCCATACTCTCCACTAGGGATGTGCACAGGTCGGGGTAGTGTGGTTTTGAAGGAAAATACTAACCGAACCACCATTTGTGGGTTGTGCATTTTTGTCAACCACTGCCGTGGCTCAGTAAAACCAGCAGGCGGTTTTGAATTTGCGAGTCGGACGGGTGGATGCAAAAATATGCTAAATCAACAAAACAACCAAGAATTTTGACCATCGTTTTCAAACTACAAAACACGCTATACAACAAACCAGCAAATTTCTAGAGCAAAACATGTAAATCTCTAGCTAGGTTACGTGCAAACCGTCATTTGCAACCAACAAACCAGGAGTTTGATGCAAAATAGGGATTAAAAAGATGCCAATTTCAAATATTTCTCAAAAGAAAAAAGCAGATTTCTTCAACAACAAAAAAAAAGAGACTGTAGAGCTGTGAGACAGTGAGAGCAATCACAGTATGAGAGAGACTGAGAGAGAGTACCTCACTGTGAGATGATTCAGATCTGTGTTGTCGATAGAAAGTTGAAGACTTGTGGTAGATGTCCGGCGGAGTGGTGAGGCTGGCCGGCGATAAAGCCGGCGACGACGAAGGAGGGGAGTGTTTGAGATGGAGAGGCGCGGCAGCGTACAGACCAACAGGGATTGATCAAAATAAAATTAATATATTAAACAGTAATGATTCGTACCCACAAATTGGTGTAAGTAAAAAGAAAAGAGAAAAAAATATAAAATAAAAAAGCCAATACAACCACGTCATTGGTCTATGTCACTGTGTGGGGGCGGTGGAGTTTCCTAAAAGGAAATTTCAAACATTTTTTTATATTAAAATAGGATAAATTACATCAAAAATAATCCGAATCCCTCCAAAATGTGAACCCCACAACCCCTTCTCCTCCTCCAATCACTAACCCTGACATGTGTGCAGGGTGGTGGGAGTTGGTGATTGAGAGGTCTTAATCACTTCTCAAATTACATTTATCTCTTTAGATTACTGACACATACAGTGATCTACCCTATAGTTTACATAATTACAGTAATTTTTTTTACTTTACCTGACAATATCAAGATTCTCCTCTTTTGTCAAATTGTTCCAAATGATGTCACTTTTCCTATAGTAAATTATCTTATTGTCCTTACTTTTAAAATATTAAAAAATATTTTTGGATTGGAGGATAGGTTTGGATTTTTTTATATTAGAATAGGATAAATTACATCAAAAATAATCCGAATCCCTCCAAAATGTGGACCCCACAACCCCTTCTCCTCCTCCAATCACTAACTTTGACGTGTGTGTAGGGTGGTGGGAGTTGGTGATTGAGAGGTCTCAATCACTTCTCAAATTACATTTATCTCCCTAGATTATTGACAAATACAGTGATCTACCCTATAGTTTGCATAATTACAGTAATTTTTTTTACTTTACCTGACAATATCAAGATTCTCCTCTTTTGTCAAATTGTTCCAAATGATGTCACTTTTCCTATAGTAAATTATCTTATTGTCCTTACTTTTAAAATATTAAAAAATATTTTTGGATTGGAGGATAGGTTTGGGAGAACAAACAGTGTTTGGAACAGTATTTTTTTATTTATTTTTTAAAAATATTAAAAAATGTTTTAAAAAATATTTTTTATTTTAAATGTGTAATTTTTATTTAAATATTTTATTTTATTTTGTAAATATTTTAATTTTTTTAATTTTTATATTTTAAACTCAAAACACAATTTCACACTTAAATCGTAACCAAACATATAATTCAAAATTCAATTCAAAAATTATTTTTAAAACTTATAACCAAACACATAATTTGAAATTCCACACTACTTTCGAAACTCTACACTCAAATCTTAACTTCATAACAAAAAAATTAAAATATTTAAAAATATTTTTATAAAATAGAGTTTGAAATAATTTTTATAAAATATTTTAAAATTTTAAAAATTAAAATCGTAA